CTCGGTGTACGATTGCCTTAGTTCTGGGTAAAAGTGTTTTTGGATGCAAATTAGGCATGCCTGAAATAATTCAAATTTACATTTAGGTATAGTCCATTTTCTTTATTTAAGAAAAAATATATTTTAAAAAAAAATCTTTATTCTTGATCCTATTCTGTACTTCTATCAGATATTGAAACCGTGCACCCACAACGGAATTTACGTTGAGGTTCACAGCTCCAGTTAATATGTACACTCAAAATGTAATGGGGGGGGGGGCGGGCTCTTGATAATGTTGCACCCTAATTATGGAAAACTTTACCATTACAAGTAAGACAATCATCATCAATATAGTCCATGTTTATTCATTCTCACCTCTTTATTGAATAACCCCCAACACAAAAGGGTAGAAAAACCTGTCGCATGACATACCCTGTTTAAACCGCTATGCATACAACCCAAATTCGGAAAGTTACAAAAAGGGAGATACATAAGTATTGTGCGTGCATGCTAAATTCATTAACAAGAAAAGAAAGTGATGGTAAGCATAGTACTGACTTTATAGTTTAACAAGTATAGATGGAATTAACTTAGTTAACAGTGTATTTTTTTAAGTACATATTAAGTAAAACAAATTTACAAACTAATGTGATCTTTTGACTGATGAATAAATAAAATAATGAAATGTAAATAAATTTCTTTGTCGACAGCAAAATCATAACTTTCAGTAAAAATATGATCCCTTATTAATTTCAAAATTTACAATACAAAAGTAAAACGATTCAAAGATTTAAACGCCTGAGGGAAAACAAAGTTTGTATATTATATAAGGACGATAAAACTTGAATCTTGAATCTTGATTATAAATATAGGCTATAAAATACTTTGAGAATGATCTGCATAAATTATGTTTTTATCATGAGAATTATCTATTCCTTATAGTAACACATGGGTCTAGTTCTAATTTTTTTTTTCTTTCTTCAAACTAATTGATTCATTTCATTACTATAAGCTTCAAGGTTTCTTTTACATTTAGTTTACACACATGTACAGGTAAGGCATAATTACAACAATAGATTTACTATTATAATTGTGGGTTTTTTTCACAAAAATAACTCCATTTCAACAACTCTATGCATTGTGTATATATTTCATTAAAGCCATAATGTAATAGAAACTTAACGCAAAATCCCCTCTAGCGGTAAGACATAATTACAACATTGGGTTTACTATCATAAGTATGTTTCAAAGTAAAGGTATACACCATTTTACATGCAATGCACAATCAACCCATTCATAATTACCAATAGACAATTTTTTTTATTTTTTACAATGTAAACCCTTCAAAATTACTCAATTTCATTTAAAGTAATATGTGACAATTTTTTTCAAACCTAGTGACACTGTAAAAGGTAATATAACGTATCGCAACTGAACTGAAAACATACATGTACACTTAGAACTTTAATATTGCCTTGTTTAGATACGAGGTGGAAATACCATTGCGTTTTTTTTTTACGGCGTAAAGTGTTATACGCTTCATATTTCTGTTTCTTATGACATAGAGCTCAGTGCATATACGTGAGGGAAATTTGTGGCACACTGTTGCCTTTCATGTACATGTAAAAAAACGTGGTAGCCTTTTTGCATCGGTTTCGTTCCTCATATCTGCCATTCATTTACACATTATAAAAATAATTTTTTAAACACCCCTATTAACCTTGTCATATCTGAACAAGCCTTTAAATGGCACATATAACATTCAAAACCATTCAACAGTATGCATTGTTTTTTTAATAGATAATATGTACAGAAAGAACTTGGTATTTCAACAGTTATGAACATCACATTATACAGGAATATTTTCATATGCATATATAAAATATATATTTAGCAAGTACAAAATATAGAAAAAATTCATCTTAAGCTCTTCAGGGGGCGTTTCACAAAGCCTTTTTTCAATGACAAATGACAAAAATCAGTGACAAATCTGATGATAACCAATCAGGAGCAAGGATTATAGTAAGCAAATAACTACCGTTGGTGAAGGTGATGGGACAAACTATCACTTCCGAGGCGATCTGGATGTAGCTATCTTTCCGAAGCGAAGCTGAGGAAAGATAGCGTATACATTCTGATCGACGAGGAAGTAATAGTTTGCCATCGCTTGAAACCAAAAGGTGATTATTTGCTTTATATTCCACATCTAAAACAATTTAACTACAAAAAGAAAAGGACGTGTATGCATCTACATAAAAGACACCAGGCCCAAATTCACACCAAAAAAGTTAAAAGTTTAACCCAACCCCTTGAGGGTACGATGCGCGCATGTGTTTGCTTTAATTATTGCGCTCATTGGTACTGCGCGCTTAATTGCGCCTGTTTTAGTGCGTTTTTGGCTAATCTTCAGTGAAAGTGCGTTGCCCTTTGTAGATAGTACCTCTATCTTCAGTGAAAGTGCGTTGCACTGTGTAGATAGTAGTACTATCTACACAGTGTAACAAACTTTTTGCTTCTCCCATCAATAATGGGCGAACTATCTTTCATCACGTGATTTACTTTTGACCAATCGTAGAACAAGATTCTTAGTGTGTGGAATATAATAGCTTATAACAAAAACTGACATTTGTCACTGATGACAAGTTTTGTTAAACGCCCCCCAGGAATAAATGGTCTACCGACAGCCAGAAGAGAGCCATCTACAGACTTTGTTTGTTTTACCTGAATGCTAAGAAAGCATGTGAATGCTTGTAAGTATGCAAACAAGGGGACCGACGGCTTTAAGTCCTCTCTGAGGGACGTGGTAATAAGGATTGATGCCTTACCAAAGGGCACTGGCGCATCAACCTGGTTAAGAACTTGGGACGCCCTCGGTTTTGAGACCACTCATCTACCACTGAGCCATCGCACCTCCTTAACGTTAATGCCCTACTGGCTCTCTGCACACAAAATGATTTGTATTCTTTACATGCTTAAGACCAAAACCCCATGCTACTACATTGTCTGGAGTAAATATATTTATTTATACACACACTGTTTGTGTGACAAAAGTCGATTGTGGCACTCCAATATCTGTACTGTTATACAACAGAAACTGTTAAAGGGCGATTCTGTATGCAATGTATCACTTAGGAAATGTTTTTTTTTTCAATTTCGTCAAAAAAGTGAAAATATCTTGAGATGATCGATCGCTAGTGTTATCATAAATAACTATCAGCCAGCAGTTATAACAGGAAATTTTTGAGATGAATTAACGTGATGTCATATGTCGTATTAAAGGGAAACATTGCATAGAGTCATGCATAATATTTAAAGGGGAATTCCACCCTGATATAAAATTGGTTTTAATAGAAGCAGAAAAATATGAGAAACAATTCACTGAAAGTTTGAGAAAAATCAGACAACAAATAAGAAAGTTATGAATCTGTTGAAATCATGAAAAACATGGAATCTGTGAGACTAAATGACAATTCAGTCAGAATGTTGTGATGTCATCCCTTCAAAATTCACCACTGATCTGAATGACAGAATGACTCAAACTCTCCATTTCTATGAATGTTAATGGAGTAGTAGACCCATCTTATATGGATTTGTACGAAAGAACATGCTATCTGTGATATTTGATCAAGATAGGCAGGACAAAATATATCTTTTGATCAAAATAAAATTTAATGAAATTTCTTGCATTCAACATATAATAAAATATGAGGGGGTGACATCATATTTAGAGACCGGGTGGCCAATTTGACTCACAGATTTGAAGTATTTCATGAAAAGCTATGGATTTAAAATATCCAATACTGTCTCATTTATTGTCCGATTTTTCTCAAAGTTTCACTGATCTGTTCTTCTCATTTTCTCCTAATATTAAAACAAACTTATTCTAAGGGTGGAATTCCCCTTTAACTCAGACACACAAGAATCTCAGAGACTATAGAATACATGAAGATAACAGACACAGATACAGTTTGTTCATCATTCCTTGAATAAATATAGAAATAGGAATGGAGGTGGTAAAAGGAAGCTTTACAGATAAATGGACATTGTTCAAAAGGTTGAATTCAGCTGTACATGTATAGCAAGGTGCTGGTGCTAATATCAGCCATGCCCCATGTTTTATATTACTTCACCATTGATAATAACGATAATAATAATAATAGTAATAATAATAGTGGGTTCTTGTAAAGCCCTCACGTCTGTCAGATTGTCTGGCGCTACATGATTATAAGCATGGCTGTCATTAATAGCATCTCAAGTAGTCCTCGAGTGGTTAAGTCGCCGGACTGTCAACCTTAGGTCCGCGGTTCGAGACAAAGTAGTCCTCGAGTGGTTAAGTCGCCGGACTGTCAACCTTAGGTCCGCGGTTCGAGACCCGTCGCGGCACTAATGTCCTTTGGCAAGACATTGATCTACATTTGCCACACTCAACCCAGGTGATGTAAATGGGTACCTGGCAGGAATTAATTCTTTGAAATGCTAGAGTGCCGTAATGGCAGCACAGCTAAAGCAGGGGTAATGACCTCCAAGTTTGGAAGCACTTCGTGATTGTAATAAGCTCTATACAAAAACTGAGTATTAATATTATTATTTTTAATACAGACAGTGATCGAGGCAAAGGTAGATTAATCTCTTTGAAAAGGACCTCAGTGTACTACTGAATCTACTAGCAATCCAAATTGATGTACAAATCTAACATTCACGTGACCTGCACAGGGAGTGTCAGAGGTCACGTTGAAAAACTTTGAAATCACATTGGAAACTCGCAAGCAAATCACCTGCAAATACCTAGATTATTTAGATATGGTCCTTGTGTCTCCTTACTGTATTGCTGAAGTCACAAATCATCCTGTACACATAAAGGCTTTATCGTACACGAGTTTTAGTGGAAATAACTTGGTCTACGTGTCTCCTTACTATAGAAGTGACTGTTATAAAGACTACATTTACATTACCGGAGTAACACATCTTTCTGCACATGTAGGCTTTATCGAACAGTAGCTTTAGGGGAAATAACTTGGTCAGATTGTCTCATTGCCTAGAGGTGACTGTTATAAAGACTACCTTTACATTACTGGAGTAACATCTTTCTGCACATGTAGGCTTTATCGTACAGGAGTTTTAGTGGAAATAACTTGATCAGATTGTCTCTTTACTTTAGAAGTGACTGTTATAAAGACTCCATTTTCATCCCTGGAGTCACACATCTTCCTGCCAATGTAGGCTTCATCATACAGGATCTTTGATGGGAATAACCTGGTCTGCATATTTCCTTAGTGTTGAAGTGACTGGTTCAAAGACTGCTTTGGCACAATAGTTCTTCTCTATGTTATGTGCGCTTAGGTGATGCTTAAGTGGCTCGATCAAACCCTTCTCAAGGTCTGCTCCAAAAGTATACTGAAGACCGAGGGAAGAAATGCAGAAATGAAAAGAAAAATTTAGGAGACATAAGAGAAAGAAATAAAACTAGATGGAATTCGACTGCGCGCAGTCGAAAATGATGCCTCCGTCATAGAGCAATTTTACAAACCAAAACAGAACACATTTTTCGAATTCAAGTTCAATTGTAATCCATTAACAGGTTCTCAGAATATCGTGATTACAAGCAATTTCTCATATACATATATGACCCTTTGATCTTTGACCTCATGACCCTAAAATCTACTCAGTTCATTGGCTCTGCAAGAGTTAAATAGTAATCCATCTGTCAGTTCTAATGAGAATGTGTTCACAAGCTATTTCTGCATACATAATGAGCCCATGACTTTTGACCTTTGACCTTATGAACCAAGAATCTACTCAGTTCATTGGCTCTGCAAGTAACATACATGACCTAATTTTGGCAGGAATCCATCAATCGGTTCTTGAGAACGCGATCACGAGCTGTTTTTGCATACATAATGTGCGTTGTGGCCTTTGACCTTTGACCTCGTGACCCCAAAATCTAATCAGTTCATCTGCTCTGCAAGTAACATACATGACCTAAGTTTAGCAGCAATCGATCAATCGGTTCTTGAGATAACGCAATCACGAGCTGTTTTTGCATACATAATGTGCGCTGTGGCCTTTGACCTTTGACCTCGTGACCCCAAAATCTAATCACTTCATCAGTTCTGCAAGTAACATACATGACCTAAGTTTGGCAGCAATCCATCAATCGGTTCTTCAGATAACGCGATCACGAGCTGTTTTTGCATACATAATGAGCCCTGTGACCTTTGACCTTTGACCTCGTAACCCCAAAATCTATTCAGTTCATCAGCTCTGCAAGATACATACATGACCAAAGTTTGGCAGGAATCCATCAATCGGTTCTTCAGATAACACGATCACGAGAAAGGGACGTACGTACGTACGTACAGACGGACGGACGGACGGACGGACGGACAACCCGAAAACATAATGCCTCCGGCTACTTCGTAACGGAGGCATAAAAATTGTCATTAACTAAACAAATGATATTTTAATGTGCTCATATCCGCCATGCAAAGAGCTCAAGATGCTCTAAGATTAATCACCCCAGCTTTATACTTAATACTTTATAATATGCAAATTGAAATTTTGAACTCGGAGGCCATTATGATGACGTCATGAGTTAATTGAGGGTCAAATGAGACATGAAATCATATCTCCGATTCATATTCTATCAAAATATGAAAAAAGATATGGGGTCACCTTGCATCCTAAAGAGCTACAATGGATTTTGTATAGGCATGTTTTATTACAAGAGCTCGCACGTGCCACGGACATGTTTTTTTAAACCGACGCTCATTCTGTTATTAATGATCAGAAAAAGATGAACAAGGTATCAAAATGCTTGAAAAAATGTGCCAAATATGATGACAGAGAAAATTCGGCGATTCTACGTCGCAAAATGCCAGTACGCGTGAAAACGGGCGCGCAAAGTTTGAAAATGCTTAATATGGCCTGAAACGTGTGCACAACATTTTTGAAACGATGTAGAGCATTTTGAAATTTTGCACGTGCGCTAACGCGCGGACTACGCATACGCGCATGTTGATTGACCTGAGATCGACCGGACAAATATTGACCTTAATCATGATAACTATGAATGAGAATTGATGTTCCGTTATGGAGATATGATCATGAGTTGAAAGTACAAAAAAAACAACCAAAAAAAAGGGCGCCTGGATGACGTCATGAAGACATGATGACCTTGAAAATGTTAATGTCACATCTCATGACAAGGACCTATGACTGTGCCAAAATTGAAAAAAATTGACTAAACTGATCTTGAGTTATCCTCTACACAAAAAAGTGAAGAGAAATAAATAAAAATAAAGAATAAATAAATAAATAAATAAATAATAACAAAGAAAATTCTGACGAAATCAATGGGTGGTCTGTCAACGACAGACCACCTAATAACAGCAATTACAATAACACTTATAGAGTAATGAAGCTGTGACATCATAAAAATTTATTTTTAGAGTTTCTCAATTTTACGAACCAGAGCAAAACAACACTGAGTTCCTGTGGATATTTGATTTATTCAGATGGTCATATCTCAGCCAATACTTAACATATTCAATTGCTTTTCGACATTTTGACATTAATCTTTGATGCTCTTCTGGAAAACAAAACAAAATTTGGCAAATTCCCAAAATCGACTTTGATGAAGTCAAACTTCACCCCTCTATAATAATAATATAATAATAAAAACAATAATAATGAAGTAATAATAATGATATTCTTTATCATCATTGAAGTACCGGTGATCATAAAAATACTGATTGTTATTATCATCAATCTCGTGATTTTATTTCAATTTGCGCCTGTATACTCAGTTGACTTACGTCTCTAAAAGACTCATAGATAGCTCTGAAGGCCGGCTGCTTCATGTTGTGATAAACCCCTCTGTTCCCGTGTATGACCGCTATCCCATGCTCATTCGTCCTATGGCAGTTGTTGGAGTACATGCAATGGTCGGGCCGATAGTTCCACTCACACGCATAGGGGAAAAGTCCCTCTGTACAAAGGTCAAAGGTGATGAATCTTTAAGTTTCAGCATACATGTCGATCAAAAACATTTCTTTTATGTTTAAAAACTGCATATTCTTGAACTATTGCATGTCCATCCTGACATGCAGTGGCCAGGGCTCGTATTCAATTCAATAATTAAGTACAAAATTGAAGCTTTTTACTTAGTATTTGGCTTAGATAAAATACTTAGCCAATTTTGGTATTCTATTCAAACTTATTGTACCCTTAATTTAATACAGCTCCCTACCCTTCCTTACGCAGAATTATAACCTGCTCACAATTATATTAGCGCGCATTTATAGCGACATGTTAATTGCCCATTACTTTTGATTGACCATGTGATGTCACAATGCTTTCCAGTAAGTAGTTTACTAAGATTTGGTCTCAAGTAAGTAAAAGTCTAAAATGCGATTTGAATACGAGATAAGTAAATTTCTTAGCTCAGCTATTTACTTAGTAATTGAATACTGGCCCAGGACTATGGTTCCACTTACAGGAATATATGAAAAAAGTCCCTCTGTTGAGAGGTCAAAGGTCAAAGGTGATGAATCTTTAAGTTTCAGCATACATGTCAATCAAAAACATTTCTTTTATATTTAAAAACTGCATATTCTTGAACTATTGCTCTTGCCATCCATAAACTTGTCTGACATAGCACACCAAGCAACTGATCAAACAGATTTATTGGTAATTGTCAAAAACAGCTTGACATTTGTAACATGGTCACTTTCACTAATTAGAAATACATTTTCACCCACAAATCTGCAGAAATTGACTTACATTAACATTTCTATCTATGTCTTTGAACATGGATTATAATACAGCAATTAGTGGCTTTGTGGCTATCTTTCTAAAGACAGAATGATAAAAAAAAGTATAATTTCCCCATATATTATTTTGAGCTTGAAATAGTAACACCAAATACTATTTCATGAGTAACTGATTCTCAGACATTAGATAGTTATATAATGTTGCATTCAAACTCACGTGGATAGTCATGGAATAGTATATTGATCAGATCTTGAGCTTGTATTCATATTGACTCTCAGACATAAGATAGTTATATAATGTTCCATTCAAACTCACATGGATAGTCATGGAATAATATATTGATCAGATCCTGGTCTCCCCATGTGATCTTGAGCTTGTATTCACATTATATCTCAGACATAAGATAGTTATATAATACTGTATCTAAACTCACGTGGATAGTCATGGAATTGTATATTGATCAGATCTTGAGCTTGTATTCATATTGACTCTCAGACATTAAATAGTTGTATAATGTTGCATTCAAACTCACGTGGATAGTCATGGAATAGTATATTGATGAGATCCTGATCTCCCCAAGTGATCTTGAGCTTGTATTCATGATACAGAGGAACAATCGTCTGCGTCCATCCAAAGCGCCTCATCCGAGTCAGGTTCATCAGCATCACGCCAGAGTTCATTCCCGTCTCCCCGTAGTAAGGGTGCCGCGCAAAACGGTTGTACCTGTAGATGATTAGGTAGACATAGATGATTCAGATCAGCAACATAGTGATATGCAAGTTTCATAACAGTAATTGAAAAGGTTCATCAGCATCCGGCCAGAGTTCATCCCCGTCTCGCCGTAGTAAGGGTGGCGCGCAAAACGGTGGTACCTGTAGATGGTAGATGATTGGGCAGACATAGATGATTCAAATTAGCAACATAGTGATATGCAAATTTCATAACAGTAATACTTACAATATATATGTTCATCAATTTTTAAACATGTTAACATTTTTGGAACGACAAAGTTGTCGGCAACATTTGTGAACACCCCGTGAACGTAATATGATGTAACCTAGCTAATGTATTAGTGCATGCCAATGCCTGTCCATAGGCAAAGTGGCATGCATGTTCCAGACTAGTTCATAACTAATGGAGAGAAAACAAGACACCTTCACGTACGTCGTGACAACTTCAAGTATGTCGTCACAATGAATAACAATGCATGAACAATGATTATCTTTGTCATAAATACAGTGAAACCTGTCTCTAAAGACCACCCAAGGCCCTTGGACGGAGACAAGAAAAGTGGTCTTAAGAGGCAGGTGATCCTTATGTACAGGTGCCTAAATAGTACATGTTTCATTGAGAAACCATTTTCAAGGGAAACAAAACATGTGATCTTTGTAGACAAGATTGACCGTACTATACATTTTACACTGTAGATGGTTATATACAGGTTTCATTATACAGAAATATATTATATCTTGATGTTAAAAGTTTGAATGCTGGAAAATATAAAAATGTGCCTTGCATATTTAATTTAACTCAATTTTTACATATAAATTTGTAAGTGTACATGGTAATATTCCGTGTACATTCGGTGTACAGTCAGTGCTTTTAACTTTACCAAGAATGGGCCTAGTTTCTTATCATTTTGATGATTCCAGAACCTTGCAGTACACACCAATACTTATATGCTAGATGATCAACCTTTTCTGATTGATTCCACTGAGTTTCTTTCACAATGCAATTCTATGACCTGGGTCCTGTTGCATAAAACTTACCATTGATGGTAACTTTGCCATCAATGGCAACTACCATGGTAACAGGGCTCAACAGCCAATCAAAATCAAGGTTTTCATGGTAGTTACCATTGATGGCAAAGTTACCATCAATGGTAAGTTTTGTGCAACGGGGCCCAGAACTCCACTTTATCTTTAAACAATGCCTTTAAAGGGATAGTTGAGTTCTGTTTACAGACCGCAAATGCCTTCAAAGTGCATGGTTATTGCTCTTATTCTTATCTATGACAATTCTATTGCCCTTTTAGAACCTAAAATTGCTATGAATGTAATTTTAGCCCCCCAAATGTGTGAAATTTAGCCAATACGATCATACCAATTCAGCTCCACTTTAAAAAAAACTTGATGGCCGTTAATTAATTATTCAATTAAAAATGACAATACCTGAGCCGGATGGTTGTGCGTAATTATAAGCAACACAAAAATGCCAACAAAAAAGCCAACATCGGCATTGGCTGAAATACGACGTAAAAGGCATTATTTCGTTTTTTCAACGTTTTTTTTCAAATTTGTCAAAATATCTAATATTTGTGGTGTGTCACAATGTGACTGGGATTTCTTTTTTAGACAGAGAATGTAATGGACAGGTGTTAGATGAATAGATGTTGTTGGTAGCAATTTACTAGGTCAACTAACTTGGATTTACTAGGTCAACTAACTTGGGTCTCTAGTAGAGCAGGTGTCTGTCTTTGTCTGTGTGTGGGGAAAGGATGAGGAGAATGTTAATAGGAAAGTTTTGTATAGAGGATTCAGTAAAAGGAATTTGGATGGACAGTTTTGGCATGAGAGGAATACAAAGAATGTTAAAGAGGTTACTATTGAGAGAGCCAACGTGGATTAGAGATTTAGGGTAGTTTAATCAGATTGCACATGAGATCTCGAGAGGAGCAGACCTTTCAGAATTTGGTCTGACTTTGGGGAGTGAATGAGGGGTGTTGGCCACGAAGGTAAAAGTTACAGCCACAGGCTATAAGCATGCTGTTGCTGGCATAGACTTTCCCTATACTATGGGACCAGGCAAGAACCAGGCAGCACAGGCCGACGTGGTAGAAGCCTCATCAGCCCTCGCCTCAACTTGAATCATCATTTGAACATCTGAACTGTAAGTTACAGAAATAAATGTATTACCTTATTTGTAATTATCTGGAAGGAAGGTTAATGTCATACATTTCATACATTTCATAAAGAGAAAGATATTTTCTATGTACTACGAGATAATGGATTTTTGTGTTTTATCTTGCTTGTTGAATAAGGAAGACTTAACCTTGATTATTTTGTTTGCTTAGAATATATGAGGTTTAAGAAATTGTATTGCACTGAAAAGTTATACATGTATAACTATGTAAAGACATAGGTGTTATTCTATAATTTCTAGGTGAAAGATACCGTACATGGTCATTTATAAATGTCGCCTATTTTAGTGGTTTATGTCAGTGAAACTAAGCTCTAGAGATTGTAAATGATGGTTGTAAATTGTTAGGATTTACATCGCTATAGCTATCGTGTTTATTTTTGTAGATGGTTGGCTATTTGGTTTCCATTTAATTCTTTTAGGGACAAGCTGGGCTCGTAGCCATAACCCTAGGCACCATCAGTGAATGGACATGTGTTCGTAGTCGACAAGCTCAGGCAACCTACTCGCGTCAAGTCGTTGAGTCAACGCCCAGTGCTGTCGTACACCGGTCATGCTTAGCAGGTCATGCATCATATCGCACCGGGTTACTACATACACCAGAGTATTTCGTTCCGCCTATTCAGAAACAGGAAGAGGTGGTATATTTACGAACTCTAAATCGGGACTCTCTAACCCACAACAGTATACTTTTTATATAAAGACCGGGCTAGAGTCGGTGGGAGATTAACTGTATTATACCTCGAAGGATGACCTGGTCATCAGGTAATCTTTTTTCCTTTGGAAATATGGAGAATTATATTGTGATATAATTGAGTAACGATAAGTCGACATAAACAGTGATAGGATATACTCCTATCTAAGTTCATAGTGATGCTGAATCATTTTATTCTTGTCAATTATTTGCATGTTTAATTATATAGAGCCGATGGCTCTTAAATAAATTGTTTGTACACTATATTTTACTCTTGAAATTGCTTGATTTTCTTGTGATACATACTCATTTCATCAGAACCTAATTTATCGTCAGACCATAATAATTTACAGTATTTAAATCTGACATATTGGCGACCACGAAGGGACTATTTTTTTGTCTATTTGATAGGTTAGGTTATAATGATTAGATTGTTATCATTGGTTAATATGTCTTGTGATTGTTTTTGTGTAATAATGAAAACTTGATCTTCTCTCCAGTTTACAGTGTTTGTAGGTTCAAGACTGTTCGGACGGTGGTGCAAGTGCAGGTCGGGGCAGGGAGGCTTCTCTACGTGCCTGTGCCAGAGCTGAGGGCGTGGTGACGTTTGCGCTGCATAAATTGTCTGCATTTGGCAGGTTTGTAAATTTACCTTGGTGTGGCCTGCAGTATGGAGAGAGATAAGTTTATTACACAAGGGAAAGAGTTTAATTTGGAGGGGAAGGAATTGAGAACGTATGTTGATGAGTGTGTGCGTGAAGCTAGAGATGAACGAGCGGCAGCAAGGAGTGCTGAGACTGAAATAATAGCTCAACAGATTAGACTAGAGGAACTAAGGAAAACTAATGGGACGGGACCTAGTTCACAGTCGGGGCACCCACGTAGTAGGCCCAGTATTCCTCCTCTTCCAGTTTTCCAAGAAGGAAAGGATGATATTGACAGTTATTTGTCTAGGTTTGAGAGACATGCCGTCATTGTAGGGTGGGATAAGTCGGATTGGGCACTCGCAATTTGTGCTTTGATGTCGGGTAAGGCTTTGGATATTATTTCAAGACTTACAGTTTCCCAGGTTAAGGATTATGACATAGTTAAATCCTCACTTCTAAAAGGATATGATCTTACGGAAGAAGGGTATAGGACTAAGTTTAGGTATGCTAAACTCCATCAGGGGGAAACCTACGTTCAATATGCCCATAGAATTGAGAAATACTTAGATCGATGGATTGATCTTAGCTCTTATGATGACAATGTTGAAGGTCTGAAGAGCCTGCTCATCCAGGAACAGATATTTAATACAAGCAGTAAGGAATGCCTGATGTTCGTTAAGGAACGTCATCCTGGAAAGCTTACAGAAGTATTAACTCTAGCTGATCAATATCATGATGCTCATACAGATTTGAGGGTAAGAAGGGTGAAAGCCCAGCAGTCCAGTTCTAACAGTTCAAATAATACTAAGAGTCCAAACAGTTCTACTAGTTCAAGTAGTGATAAAAGATCAAGTAGGTCTGAGAATCCAACCAACTCTAATCTTTCGAACAAGAAATGTTACACTTGTAATAAGTTTGGACATCTTTCTTTCAATTGCCCAAGTGGAAAGAAAGGTCGACGTGAGATGGGATCAAGTCTCGTCAAAGGCAGGTCAGCAGATGATACATCAGCCAGACATGTTGCTGCAGCAGGACCTACTGACTCAAGAGAGACAGCTCATCTGGATGACTCGAAGGGTTTGAGTCTCATCGTGAGAGAAAACCTCACCGAAGATGGAACCGGAGTGAAGCTAGCATCTGGCGACACCCTCCCGGTACTATCAGCAGCAGCGAGTGGTTCACCAGTGGAGATGCCAGTCAGCAAGGGAATGGTGAACGGGAAGCTCGTGGATGTTCTACGTGACAGCGGTTGTACGACTGTCATTGTTCGGCAAGACTTGGTGTCGGAAGAGCAGTTCACTGGAGGACAACGGACTTGCTTGCTCATTGATCGGACGATCAGAACCTTCCAAGTTGCAACGATCGAGCTAGATACTCCTTTCTTCACAGGTAAGGCAGAAGCTTTGTGTGTGCTAACACCCGTGTATGATATTGTACTAGGGAACATTTATGGAGCCCGGCAACCAGCTGACCCAGACCAAGACTGGAAGCCAAAAGATCATCAGGCCAACGCAGTAGAGACAAGAGGACAGAAGCGGAAGGCAGGACGTACGAGGCCTCCCCTTCAAGTACCTGATTCACTGAATGACATTGTGTCTGTGGATGATCTAATCCAGGCCCAGAAGGAGGACAATGCACTGGATGCTTCCAGGAAACTCGCTGAAAGTGGAGAAAAGAAGATAAGTAAGAGTGGAAATTCGTCTTACTTTTTCGTTAAGAAGGATGTACTCTATAGAGAATATATTGATGCAACCCCAGGGTCAGATGTACTCGGGCAAGTTGTGGTACCCACTAAATTCAGGAATCAAGTCTTGAAGCTTGCTCACGAATCTATTCTTGGTGGTCATTTTGGAACTAAAAAGACCCGTGATAAGATTTTGACTCACTTTTTCTGGCCAGGTATGCATGCAGATATAGTGCGGTATTGTCGGTCATGTGGACCATGTCAGCGTACTTCGCCTAAGGGGAAGGTTACGAAGGTGCCTCTGGGATCAACCCCTCTCATCGATGAACCTTTTAGACGTGTGGCGATGGACCTGGTTGGACCGATAGAACCTGCTACTAGCAAAGGTAATCGGTACATTCTTACTGTTGTAGACTATGCTACACGTTACCCAGAAGCTGTAGCACTTCGCAGGATTGATGCACAGACAGTTGCAGAGGCACTGATGGACATATACTCCAGGGTGGGGATACCACGAGAGGTGTTGACAGACCGGGGCAGCCAATTCACATCAGAGCTGATGAAGGAAGTCAGTCGTCTATTCTCCATCCGTCAGATGACGACTACACCCTATCATCCCGCTTGCAATGGGTTGGTTGAACGTTTCAACGGTACCTTGAAGTCTATGCTTCGCAAGATGTGTGAAGAACGACCCAAGGACTGGGGTAGGTATTTGAACCCCCTCTTGTTTGCTTACAGAGAGTCAGTGCAGGAGAGCACGGGATTCTCACCCTTTGAACTCCTGTTTGGGAGAGCAGTTCGAGGCCCTCTTGCTATCCTACGGGAGCTGTGGACTGGAGAGGTTGATGAACCGGATACCAAGACTACATATCAGTATGTATTGGATCTGAAAGACAGGCTGCAATTGACTTGTGAAGTTGCCCAACAGAATCTCAGCAAATCAGCAGAGAGGTACAGGAGACAGTACAATAAGAAAGCAAAGGAGAGAAAGTTTGAAGTTGATGATGAAGTCCTTCTTCTACTTCCGAGTGACAACAACAAACTGTTGATGCACTGGAAAGGACCCTTCAAGGTGGTAAAGAAGATAGGACAAATGGACTACAGAATTGATAAGGATGGAAAGATAAAAACCTTCCATGCAAATCTTCTGAAGAAGTACTACAGGAGAGAGGAGAGTGCAGGTGGGTTTGATGTTGCTGGTGTTTCTGTTGTGGATGATGGCTTGTCTGAGGAATGTAGCGAAGGAGAGAATGAAGATGTAAACCATTCTTCGAGAAAGGATATTCTTCATCTCCCCAATCTTACCCCAACAGAATCTCTCAAAGATGTGCAGATCAGTCCACATCTAGATGATAAGCAGCGTGAGGAGGTCAACTCTCTTTTACGGGAGTATGAAGAAGTTTTGACTGATATGCCGGGATTGACAAACTTAGGTAAGCATGACATTAAACTTGTCCATAAGGAACCCATTAAGAGTAAACCGTACCCATTACCACATGCTTTGCGAGGTAAGGTGAAGGAGGAGGTTCAGAAGATGATAGATGTTGGCATAGTTGAATCCTCGTCTTCTCCTTATGCATCCCCGGTAGTGATGGTAAAGAAGAAAGATGGGACGATCAGGTTTTGTTGTGATTATCGTAAGTTAAATCAAGTTACCGTAACTGATGCAGAACCGATACCTGATCAGGAAGAAATATTTGCAAAACTTTCTAGGGCCAAGTATTTCACAAAGATTGATCTAACCAAAGGGTATTGGCAAGTACCCTTAACAGAGGAAGCCAAGGAACTGACAGCATTTGTGACACCAGATGGTTTGTATCAATTTCGAAGCATGCCATTTGGGCTAGTTAATGCTCCGGCAAGCTTTAGTCGTATCATGAGGGCTTTGCTCCGTGGCTTGCATGGTGTAGACAATTTCATTGATGATATTTTGATCCATACAGTAAGTTTTGAGGAGCATTTAGATACCCTCCGTGAGGTGTTTGAGAGACTGAGGAGAGCAAACTTGACAGCGAGGCCTACCAAGTGCACTGTAGGATGTGTAAGTATCGAATTTCTTGGTCATCGAATAGGTCAAGGAGAGCTTCGACCAGTGCAAGACAAAGTCGATGCAGTTCAAGGAGCTGCGAGACCTAAGACCAAAAAGCAACTTCGATCCTTTCTAGGTCTTGTGGGTTATTACAGACGGTTTGTTCCCAACTTCGCAGCATTAGCAGTACCACTGACTGACCGAACAAAGAAAGGAGAGCCACTTCTAGTGAAATGGGGAGATGCGGAAGAGGCAGCTTTCACTACCTTGAAAAAGAAACTTGCTAGTGAACCCATCCTCCATCTTCCGGACTTAGATCTTCCTTTCATCCTGAGGACTGATGCCTCAGATCATGGTCTCGGTGCAATTCTGCTACAAGAGACAGAAGGGAAGAAGTTCCCTATCGCCTACGCTAGTAGGAAACTTCTCCCAAGAGAGCAGCGCTACTGTGTTATGGAACGTGAATGCTTAGCAGTAGTCTGGGGTGTTCAGAAGTTCGAACCATACCTCTACGGCAAGCATTTTGAACTAGAAACCGATCACCAGCCACTGCAGTGTATCGCGAAATCAAAAGTCGCGAACTCAAGGATTCTGAGATGGGCTCTGGCGCTTCAACCGTACCAGTTTAGCATCACAGCTATCAAGGGCAGTGAAAACGTCGGTGCAGACTACTTAAGTAGGATACCAGATACCAGTAGTTGATTTCAAGTAAAGCAGGAACAGAAGGTTTTTTTTTAATAATTATTATTGATCTTTATATTTTCCTGTAAACAAATTTTCCTCGTATAGAATGAGAAAACCACTCTGAAATTTTCCTCGTATAGAATGAGAAAACCACTCTGAAATTTTTTTCTGAAATTATATAAATTTCTTGAAGGAAGGGGAGATATGTCACAATGTGACTGGGATTTCTTTTTTAGACAGAGAATGTAATGGACAGGTGTTAGATGAATAGATGTTGTTGGTAGCAATTTACTAGGTCAACTAACTTGGATTTACTAGGTCAACTAACTTGGGTCTCTAGTAGAGCAGGTGTCTGTCTTTGTCTGTGTGTGGGGAAAGGATGAGGAGAATGTTAATAGGAAAGTTTTGTATAGAGGATTCAGTAAAAGGAATTTGGATGGACAGTTTTGGCATGAGAGGAATACAAAGAATGTTAAAGAGGTTACTATTGAGAGAGCCAACGTGGATTAGAGATTTAGGGTAGTTTAATCAGATTGCACATGAGATCTCGAGAGGAGCAGACCTTTCAGAATTTGGTCTGACTTTGGGGAGTGAATGAGGGGTGTTGGCCACGAAGGTAAAAGTTACAGCCACAGGCTATAAGCATGCTGTTGCTGGCATAGACTTTCCCTATACTATGGGACCAGGCAAGAACCAGGCAGCACAGGCCGACGTGGTAGAAGCCTCATCAGCCCTCGCCTCAACTTGAATCATCATTTGAACATCTGAACTGTAAGTTACAGAAATAAATGTATTACCTTATTTGTAATTATCTGGAAGGAAGGTTAATGTCATACATTTCATACATTTCATAAAGAGAAAGATATTTTCTATGTACTACGAGATAATGGATTTTTGTGTTTTATCTTGCTTGTTGAATAAGGAAGACTTAACCTTGATTATTTTGTTTGCTTAGAATATATGAGGTTTAAGAAATTGTATTGCACTGAAAAGTTATACATGTATAACTATGTAAAGACATAGGTGTTATTCTATAATTTCTAGGTGAAAGATACCGTACATGGTCATTTATAAATGTCGCCTATTTTAGTGGTTTATGTCAGTGAAACTAAGCTCTAGAGATTGTAAATGATGGTTGTAAATTGTTAGGATTTACATCGCTATAGCTATCGTGTTTATTTTTGTAGATGGTTGGCTATTTGGTTTCCATTTAATTCTTTTAGGGACAAGCTGGGCTCGTAGCCATAACCCTAGGCACCATCAGTGAATGGACATGTGTTCGTAGTCGACAAGCTCAGGCAACCTACTCGCGTCAAGTCGTTGAGTCAACGCCCAGTGCTGTCGTACACCGGTCATGCTTAGCAGGTCATGCATCATATCGCACCGGGTTACTACATACACCAGAGTATTTCGTTCCGCCTATTCAGAAACAGGAAGAGGTGGTATATTTACGAACTCTAAATCGGGACTCTCTAACCCACAACAGTATACTTTTTATATAAAGACCGGGCTAGAGTCGGTGGGAGATTAACTGTATTATACCTCGAAGGATGACCTGGTCATCAGGTAATCTTTTTTCCTTTGGAAATATGGAGAATTATATTGTGATATAATTGAGTAACGATAAGTCGACATAAACAGTGATAGGATATACTCCTATCTAAGTTCATAGTGATGCTGAATCATTTTATTCTTGTCAATTATTTGCATGTTTAATTATATAGAGCCGATGGCTCTTAAATAAATTGTTTGTACACTATATTTTACTCTTGAAATTGCTTGATTTTCTTGTGATACATACTCATTTCATCAGAACCTAATTTATCGTCAGACCATAATAATTTACAGTATTTAAATCTGACATGGTGGTACTTAAGTATTAGAAGTCGTTATATTTCAGCAGTCTCTGAACCGATTTTGATCAAACAAAGATGATTTTGTCACGAGGGGTCCACGATTTACAAGCATCGCTTCACAGTGGACCTCTCCGTTTCCAGCTTAACATTAATAAATTGTTTTAAGCAGCAATATTTCTTGATATTCAAATATGTAATTCTGTTAAATTCATATTTTGTATTGCATGGTTACTACTTTGATTGTTTATTGTAATGATATTTCTATGAATACTGTATTCTTTTGCTGGAAATGAGAAAAAATAAAATTGAATTGAATTGAAAATTTAAATATATTATTTTCTTTCAAATTTGACACTCAGTTTTTCATTATCTCACAAAAAAAATATTTTGTGTAGCGCCCTCTGCAACAGAACTCAACGATGCCTTTAATAACAGCTTACCATCCAATGTTCTTCGCCTCGTGCTCAGGGGCCAGGGCCGCCATCTGAGTGGAATTGAATTGCTTGAAGAAACTATAAATCTCCTCTACTGGGCGGATGAACAAGATATCCGTGTCGACATACAGCAGGGAATCTACATTCGGTAGGAGATCCTACGATGAAGAAAGCAAGGTCAAATAAAGGTCAATCAAGATAGTACAGGTCAATTGGGAGCTATCAGATTGTCCGATGAAATTACATACATAAATCTCCACTATGAGGGAAATGAAAATGATAATAGTGTCGACATACAGCAGAGAATCTTCATTTGGTAGGAGATCCTACGATAAAGAAAGCAAGGTCATATAAAGGTCAATCCAGATTGTACAGGTCAGTAACAGATCAATCACGAGTTGTCAGATTTTTTAAAGAAATTACATGTATTAATTAATCTCCACTATGAGGGCAAATGAACAAGATATCAGTGTCCACATACAGCAGTAGCGCGCTTTTGCAAACACGACGAAAGGCAAAGACAATGGTAACGCATGCGATAAAACAATCTGCACATGTGCGACCCAGAATTTTCTCCCTCCTGTGGATTTTCACGACCATACGCAGCCATTATAGCATCCGTCCATAGCGTCCGTTCCCTAAACACGACGGAAGAGCTGTATCCCCGTAATTCTCCCTTCGTCTTTACTTCCGTCGTGTTTGCGAAAGCGCTCTAGTGAATCTACATTCGGAAGGAGATCATACGATAAAGTAAGCAAGGTCAAATAAAGGTCCATGAAAAATCAACTAAATGTGTACGAAGGCCGAAGAAAAGCGAACTGTTCGAGTTTAGACCTAAAGGTCAAAGGGCATGGGTTAAACAAAAACAATAGATGTTGTCTATGGGACAGATGATCAAAATATTAGTTAAATATCTGAAAATACAGACAAGAGTCTACAGATCTCCTCTATGTTGGTACACAGCAGAGAATCTACAATGGGGAAGAAATCCCAAGATATAGAAAACAAGGTCACACCAAGTTTTAACAAAAGGTCAAATTGGGTTAACAAAGGTTAAAGAAAGGTTGACAAAGTTCATCCATCGTCTATGTGATCTCATCGTCCCGAAGTAAGTTACAAGCACTGTACACAGAAAGATGTGTATGGGACTACTATAATGTGGCATAAAAATCCGTCCCAAATCGTATGATGTTACATTCCATATTTAGAATATTAAGGCATTTGAAGAGCCATGCTTTTCAGAGAACATTCTTTTATCTGCTGTTGTTCCACACTTGAAAAATACAATGATAATGCTCAAAAATTATTTTTCACCTCTTCCATGAACTCAACCTTCTCTTTAATAGCTATCTAATACAGTCAAACCTGTCTACAGTATGGGAAACACAAAAAGTGGTCTTTTTAGACAGGTTCCTTTGGTACATGTTTCAATGAGAAACCACTTTCAAGGGAAACATAAAAATGTGCTTGTTGTAGACAGGTGGTCTTTGTAGACAGGTGGTCACTATAAAAGCAGGTTTGACTTTATATCCATATACTCACAGGGAGGAAGAGCCGTTGGGTAGCGCACGTCTTAAAGACTTTCTTCCATTTCGCTGGATCTTCTCCGGGCGGGAACGATATCGGGTGAAGACTGAAAGCAAATTTACGCCGGTAAACGGAGGGCCACGCGTTCAGCTACAGGGCAACATTGACACAAAAAAAGATGTTACAGACACAAACACTGAACTTTGAAGAATTACATTTTGTAAGCAAGAAAAATGCGTCCTTTTTCGTTCACCTTCACTGTATGAAAACAAAGCCACCTGTTTAATGATCAACTTAAAAAGTGAATGATTGTGTAACTGTTATCTTATTATTATCTTATTAAGCAATAAAAAATATATATAAGAAATCAGAAAACGGACAATTGAGCAAGTATAGTAGATACAACCACTGGAACGAGAACGACAGATAATGTTAAACTAATAACTGTAGCAAAAAACTTTCTGTCCCAGTTCCAGTGGTTGGAAAAATAATCTACTTTTTGCCCAAAAAATGTATTCAATATGAAAATTGCAACCTTATATTATCTTAAAATTAATATTTACTATTGAGTCAATAATCTTATTTCATAATTAAAGCAACATCTTGTGAAGAGGTACATGCAAAACAAATTGCTTCCAATATAACTTGGTTTAAATCACGAGAACAGAATATTCTTGGACTTAAAAAAAAAGGAGAATTTGCATTGTTCAGTGCTATTCATAGTTTGTCATAGTTTGTAATTACAGAGTTCATATCTTTCTTATTCCTTGTCTGGTTTTCCTGAAATTTGTGTTGTTCTATTGCCTGATTTTTCTGCTTTTATTGAATACAAGTCGGTCTTGGACCAGACTTTCCCTATAAGCTACTTTTCTTTAACACAGTCAGAGACTATCAGAGCTAGGCTCTGCTCAAGGCTTCATGAATTATGGTAGAATTAGAGTCTGTGCTTGTAATGATAATAATAAGAGTGGGCTCGCTTATAGCGCTCATGTCTGGGAGGCATTTCACAAAGATCCTTAGTCCAACTTAGAGTTAAGTTCGACTTGAACATTATGGAGAGCCATTTGTAGCCTTAAGATAAAATATATTCATAAGCAAAAAGTAAAGTGTTTTAACTTTTCATAAATTCCTCATCAAGAACATATCATCTCCTGGATAATAGAAAACATGAATGATTTGAATCAACATTTTATGCCCTTTAAAATACATTTACAAAATATTTTCAAGGGTGCTATTTCGGCTTTCCATAATTATAAAGTGCAACTTTAATAGAGATAAGTTCGACCTAGAATGTTTGTGAAATAACCCCCTGGTGGTCCACTTTTGTAGACTAGATTGAAAGCTTCTTACCCTTTGCGCTCATGTCTGTCAGACTAGACACTCCTAGGGGAGGGGGGGGACACAAAGATCCTTAGTTCAACTTGAACATTATGGAGAGCTATTAGCATCTTTGAAAATATGTTGGTAAAGGTTTTTTAAAAGGCATAAAATCTTTCTTCACATCATTCATATTTTCTATTATCATGGGAGATTTCATGTTCCTGATGTGGAATTATGAAAAGTCTAAAATACTTGAATTTTTGTTTTTTAATATATTTTATTTTAAGGCTACAAATGGCTCTCCATATTTTTAAAGTCCTAATTAGAGATAAGTTCAACTTAGGATCTTTGTGAAACACCAACTGGCGCTCCACTTTTGTAGACTAGAATGAGAGCTTCTTACCCCTTGAGCTATACCAGCCTGTAATTCGTCTTCAGCAAAGATGTGAAAATGCATCAATTGTTGAGTGAGGATGGTCGCAGTTTTCAACATGACGAGCGTCTCGTTGGTTCTATCTCCGCAGCATACCACCGATAGATTAATCCTGAAAAAATATGTGAAATATAATTGGCAACTTTGTTTGATTATCTTAAAATATATATTTTTCTTCTTGGTTGTGGAAAAAGTACAGCATCTACTTCAAAAAGAAGAAGGTGGCAGTCTTCAACATGACAAGCATCTCGTCGGTTCTATTTCTGCAGCATACCATCGATAGATTAATCCTGAAAAAACATGTAAAGAAAATTGGCAACTGTGTTTGATTGAAAAAAATCTAAATGAAATATTCAGGAAGGTATTTTCTCTTAAGTCTCAATCCACTGACCAAATTACCAACATTAAACTTGCATAGATTTAATGATCTCAAATTTCAACATTCATACACTAATTCTCACAATTATTATTAGTCCGATTTACTATAAGTTTTTGCCGTTCTGTTTTTCTTATTTGTTCTGCTTTTTTTTGTGATTGCCCCTAAAGGTATCGTTTAACATTGTTAAATCTGAGATGCACGGCCCTACATGTTATCAGTGTCTGTGATAAAGTGTAAATATTGAAGCTCTAAAAAAAAAATCGCCTAAAAAAAATCGCGCTTCAAAATGATCAAGAAGTGCCTCAAAAAAGTAAAAATCTTTGAGTGACCAGTTTTACCATACTCGTTTTCCCCAATAAATTTGTAATTACAATCATAAATATCTTGATAATCAGACAGGCGATCGGCTTGTAAAAGTCATGGGGTTCCTGTCTGACCTAAAGGTTTATAATTATGATTGCAGCATGAGCTAAATCCAGGATTTTGTTTCAGAATATGAGACAGTTACCGGATGGATCCCTTTAAGGTCTAGAAAAAAATATCTTACACAGAGTCTGATCCTGGCGGCTTCCCAGAATCACCTGCCATGTTAACTTCCTGTTTATGTTGAGCTGCATGCTGGGATTGCTCCAGTTTAATTCTCTCTTCCAACTAAGAAAAAGAGAAAAGAAAGAAAAGAAAAAAAATCTCATGAAAAATTATTTAAAGGGGAAGGTTACTTTAACATATAGTGGGTTTCATTAGAGGCTAGTAACTTGCTTATATGCTATCAAATTTCTTTCAAATTGTCACAGAAAAAGAAGACAAACAGATTTGTCCGCTTATTCCAAGTTAAATGAATTTAAAAGGAAATGTTCCTTCAACAGTTTGAAAACAATTGAAGCTATATTCAATACTAGGCTATAATAAGACACTGTACATGTTCAATACATACACTGTATAAGGGCTTGTTCAGAATTGAAGCGATAAATCGTGGCAAAAAAAACTGCCATGTTCTTTTACAGTAAATTAATGGCAACTGCGCGCACCAAAGATTTGTGGTATTTATTGTAATAAGATACACATTATATGTAAAGGGTATAAATTCACTTTAAATCATCACTTTTTTCTAATGCTAAGCTTTTCCCACGTCCTATCTGATAAACAAGCCGTATTGGTAGGGCTCAACTAATACAGTCCTTTCAAAATTTTAGTCTGGTGGATTTTCGGATCTACATGTACATGTACATGTAATTCTTGTTGAAACTTCATGAATACAATTCCAACCACTCTATGTGTAACAGTAAAACACACACACAACTTGAGTATTGAGCTCCACACACATTTTTTAGTCCACAATATTATGTCTGCATGTGTTTTGGCTTTCCCTCTAATTTACAGTAAATTTCAAATGACAGATGTTTCCTTGTGTCTATAAATAATGCAGTATACACTTTTGAAGCATATTGCCTTGAACATTCCCCAACTAGTCTGCAGATGGAGACTCTAATCTGACAATTAGACACATCCCAATAATGTTCTGGGCTGAGCCTAACTCTGTCAGGAGCAATGAAAGTACAAAGGCTAATATAGATCATGCAGTCTGCATAGTCTTGCAGATCAGACACTTTGTTTTAAAAGCACTACGACTGATTAGAGCTACGTACATGTATGTATTAAAAAGCCCAGGGTGTGAAGCAGACCATAAAATTTACATAGTCTTACATTTCAGACACTCTATTAATTACTTGTATGCACAACAGCTGACAATGGTTTAGAGCAGGGTGTATAAAGCCTATGGAGGGCAGCAGACCATGAATATAGCAGGGATATGTGAGTTTAAAAAGTATGCAAAACAGCCGACAAACGTTTATGCTTTGTCAAGCGGAACTAGAACAAAAACTATAGTATTAGGCCATTCAAAAAAATAAACATGTTCAGTTTCCCCGCCCCCTTCATTTTGGGGGGCCGTACTTTTTTTTTGTTTTTTTTTTGAAACTTTTATTTTATTTATTTATTTTTTTTAAAGAAAAAAACATGAAAAACACTGCTAAAATGAATCTATTTCTGATTTTAAAAAAAATAAGAAATGTTGGCGGCCATCTTGAAAAATAGCCAGACTGCCAGGTAAAATGTACCGAGCGGCTATTTTGAAGAAGAAAAAAAGGGCCTCCTCCTTCCTATTTTTCAAAAAAACAGGACGCTAAACATGTTTGTTTTTTTATTTGGCCTTAGTCTTATATTTCATGTATGCATAACAGCTGAGTGAGTTGGTGGGACGACGGGAGAATGAGCGTGGTGGCGTGAAACTCCCTTCAAATGCGGGAGGGTTGACTGCCCTGGTAGTGTTATAAATGTCCCATTAGGAGCAGCTTGTACATAAAGCCGATGGTGCGCAATAGTCTGAGGTCTGTATAGTCTTAAATTTCAGACACTCTGTTACATATGCACAACAGCTGACAAGCGTTTTTCTCATTAGGAACAGCTAGTATAGGGAGATGTAAGTTGGTCTAGCGGCATGTTTTGGATGGTATGTTCCCCGACATAAATAATCATATGATTGATACATGTCTGTAAAAACCCAATTACACACACAATTTACATGTAGTCTGCATAGTCTTCTTAAAGCCTATCTGCACTAGTTTGGCCAGGAGGGATTAGATCTCCCTGCAAGGTCATTGGACAGGTGGTTATCTCATCAACTTAGTTCTCAATTAACAGAAGAAAAAAAGGATCATTGGGGACCAATGGTCACTGATTATGTATTGTTTGCTATATAGAGGGCGCAAGTAGCTACAAGTAGTGCAGTGGGGCTTTAAAGCTTATCTGTAGGGCCTACTGCTTTATAGGATGGATTAGATCTCCCTGCAAGGTCATTGGACAGCTGGTTATCTCATCAACTCAGCTCTCAATTAACATTAGAAAAAGAGGATCATGGGGGACCAATGGCCACCGATTAGGCATTGTTTTCTATATAGAGGGAGCAAGTAGCTACAAGTAGTGCAGTGGGGCTTTAAGAGACGCTCACAAACCTGTTTTTGTTTTGCTGCATCAAGTCGTGCTTGATTAATGTCCTGTGTGTCGAGCTGAGGGGGTTGGGGAGCTGGCTGATTGATGGCTTGTGGGCGGGGCTTATTATTACCAGGGGGCTGGGCAGGGGGCTGGGCGGCGTGTTGGGCGGGGGGCTGGGCGGGGCGCTGTGGTGCTTGTGGTCGAGGGGCATCCACTGGAGGCTTCAGGGGGGCTTCATTGGGGAGGTTTTGCCTTCCTGCTGTACAAAAAAAAGAATTAAGGGAATAAAAAGACAATCCAAGGATTATTTCATTGATGGTTCATTTGGGCAGGTTTTGAAGAAAAAAATTAAAAGAATAAAAATACAATCAAGGATTATTTCATCATTTGTTCATTTGGGTAGGATAATGGATTTGCTTTCCAGCTGTACAGAAAAAAGTTTAAGGAATATAATACAATAAAGAGTATTTCATCGTTTGTTCATTTTTCTTCTAGTCTAACAACCGGGGACAAAAAAAAGTCCCCACCAGTACTGACCATTTACTTTAAATGTAAGAATTATGTCACCTTACATGAAAAGGAGAACAAAAAGACTAAAAATTACAGATTTAACCAATGATGACTCAAGACCACAAAATTGAGCCCATTGTGAGATAAATATGATTGTAGGCCTATCCTCTTTCCAAAACCTACTATTATTATCATTTATTATTATCAAGTAATTAAAGTCACCAGTGCCTGGGAGGGGAAAAGCGAAATGAATTGAATGGGGAGAGAAACCTCAAATTACCCAGAGACAAAATTTTCTTTGGACTTGGGCGTGAAAATATGAAGATATTAACCAATAGAACTGCAAATTTTGCCGACTGTTGCATCCTTTCTGAAAGTTTTTGAACTAACCGACAAGGGTCTCAAAGTCTTCATATCGAGAGAAGATGTCATCAAAATTGTAAGTAAAAAGTGATTCCAACTGATTGGGTGATATTTTACCTTGCAATTCATGCCATTGCATCATATTTGATAGATTGCTTTTTTATTAAAGGTAAAGACCAGTATTGGAAATGCCCCAATTTCAAAAAATGAAATGGAAGCTCTCATTACCAATCATGTGAAAGAATATGTTTTGACTAATACATGATGATTAAAAATTTGCCGGGAAACCGCCTACTAATCCATATATTTAGTCAATTTGTTTCTCTCATGGTCTTTGAGAGATATAGGGTAGTCCCATATACATCTTTCTGTGTATAGTGCTTGTAACTTTACAAAGAATGGGCCAAATTTCTGATCATTTTGATGATTCCAGAACCTTGCAGATGCTAGATGCTAGATGATCAACCTTTTCTGATCGATTCCACAACGTTTCTTTCACAATGCAATCGCATGACCATAACTGGTCTTTCCCTTTAAACCGCACGCGAATTAATTTAAGGTCTTGTTGTTTTTATGAATTTTTGTCAGTTGAAACTTGCGGTACATTTTGATCCGACTTCAAATTTTGTAATCGCATTATCTCAAGAATTTGTTGACCCAATTGGTAGTCTACTCTAAAATGTTGCCAGACATTATACATCTTTGTAGAATTATGAGAAATCATGAATCGATTATCACATTCCTAATAGTTTTTTTTAAATCTCTGCACACTTTGGGCACCACATCATCAGATCATACCAACTACAAGTTCAACTACAACTACAATTACAAGTACAAGAAATTACAAGCAACTAGTAATTAGACCTACAGTACATGTTACCCCCTGTCCACACACAACATTTTCCATGATTAGCTATACCATTTCGCGATAGTGATACCGTTTCGCGATAGTTTTATGATGAAATTGTGTGTGTGGACGCTCACTAACGAAACGTCGTATAACAAAACTAGTCTAACGAAACGCAGGTTTGGGCATCGTTTCGAACTGAAACTCAATAAAGAATCACGCCTAATCACGCCTAATCACGGAAAATGTTGTGTGTGGACAGGGGGAGTGTAACTAGTGTAACTAACTGGGCGGGGCTTAACGTGACCTCAAGCGAAAGGAGTCCAGACTGTAGAGTTTCAGGATTACTTTCTTCTGTTTATGGACATCCTTGAATTTATACGATGATTATTTATATGACGTTTCTTGTGTGTGGACACTTCGAAATTTATACTATGATTCTTTATACTACGTTTCGTTATAGAGTTTCGGGATAAATTGTTTTGTGTGTGGACACGCTGTACATGTATGTGTTGCAGTGTTGGAATTGGCATGCTGTTATTGAAGCCATGCTTTATCGTTTGTTTGTGGAATTAAAGTAGAGTTAGCTAGTTAGAGTTAGTTAGCAGCAAAACGGTGTCTGGTCTGGTCAGGTCGCCCCCCAGCCACTCGTCTCCTATATACGCAGTCGCCTCCTTTAAGTCGCCCCCAAATTGTGTGGTCGGGTCGCCTACTATACAGTTGCCCCCTACGTACAAAGGCAGTAGCCTACGCTAGCGCAGCTGTGCGCCCAACGCGGGGCCAGGTGTCCTAGGGTAAGGCGGAGTCCGGTGTCCAAGGGTTAGGATTAGGGTTAGGGTTAGAGTTAGGGTTAGAGTTAGGGTAAGGTTAAGGTTAAGGCTAGGGTGACTTTGAACTTGTAAAATACATCAAATTAAACAACAAATTATGGGGCGAAATGACCAAATAAGTTGGGGCGAGCTGACCAAGAATCCCCAAATCGCCCAAAAAATCGGGGCGACATGACCAATTGAGTGCGACTTTGTAAGGGGGCGGGCTGACATTGGGCGACCTGACATGGAACCACCAAAACTAAAGTGCTAGTTTGTGTGTGCCCAATATTGTCTCATGACTATTACACAACCTCCTCCCTCCACAAATAGCAGTAATCAAGGAAGAATCCTGGATCGGTGAACAGGCTTAGACCTACAATATCGTGTATTAAAGTGAAGTAAAGTAAGTAAGTAATACGTTCACTCCTTAACTTACCGTCAGCTGGCTTAGGTAGCTGCGGCTTCAAGCTGATTGGATCGGGGAAATCCTTTCTCGCCTTTCTTGCTGGCGGGTTAACTCTGTGCACCTTTTCCTCCACAACATGTTTATATTCTTTTCCTACCTGTTTCATGAGATTACCCACAATTTCTTCTTCAAGAATATTTTGCAATCGCTCCCTCTTTGGACCTTGTTTCCGCCGTACCTGGCCCGGTACTTTCACGTGTAGTATCGAGTCATCGAAAGCACCTTGAGCAGCTAGCCGACCATCATAATCTTCTTCCCCGCTAATTCCCCGGTAGACATAGCCACAAAGTGCTATTAAGCCCACGCACACACATAATACAGTCAGCGTCTTTAATTTCAGCCTCATTTTCCCTGATCGAGAAGGTAAAATTTCGCCAAAAATCACGTAGAAGAATGGCGTGAAGAGTGCGAATTGATGCAAAAGCATTGGAATGTTTTTGCCAGCTACTTCAAAATCCCAAAATGACTTCAAGAATATCTGAATAACAAACACGGTCCTACGGATCGGTGAACAGAGCTGTTTGCTGTTTAATACCAAACTGCGCGCGTTTCCATAAATCAAAATTTCCACACGCTTTGCTAATTCATGTTACATAGTGTACGCTCAAGTAATATATGCGTAGTGTTTGCAAGGTTGTGAGAACGTGCTTTCGCCGATGAGTTGACACGTGTAAACAACAGCCACTCCCACGTACACGCTCACGTTGATAAAACTATAAAATTGTTATGATATTATATTCATAGATTATGTCGAAAATCGAAATTAGATAATCCAAGAGTTCCGCCTGTTTCCACGGTGAATTGACAGCAGCGTGGGACTTGAGCTCTTGTCACTTTCCATCTCATGCTCCTTCGTTTAAATTCGATTAAATTTATTTATTTATTTATAGATCTAGGCCTATATATGCATGCATGATTTCACAATTCATTGAAGTTAACATCACATGAAAAATGAATATATTATATAATAAATCATTTAAATTTTACAATCCATTTGAATTGACTTCACTAATGAACAAGAATGTAATAATGATTTATCAAAGACATGGTGCATGATGAAACATATAAGCAAATATACCGGTAGAGCTTGAATCGTTACAACACCTTTCAAATTATGACAAATAAAATTCCTAAAGTTTTGTAGTGAACTATTTACACTATTTACAAAGAAAAAAATATATATATTTTGTTAAGCCTAGTAAAACTAACAAAAATATGTTCGATATAATTAGAACTGATCATAGATTATATAATGTAAGTAATATCTTACATCTGTGAAATGATTTCGAACATCATTAGGTAAAGAATTCCATATATCTGATTGATGTCTGGGCTAATGTAGTGTGAGGATTGACCACATGTAAATTCGATGACTGCCGGAATACGAATGAAATGAATGTTGTTAGGTACATTGGAGATAATGACGTAGGTAATAATTTGATATTGAAACGGAACACAAATATGGCAATTTGGAGGAAGTTAATATCACTATTCAGTTTAACAAATAGTGGGGTAGCATGGTCACGATAACCAACTCGGTGTAATTATGCGTACAGCTTTCTATATTGCAGCAGAAGAATAGTCACACACTTGGATGTTGCCCACAAAATATTACAATAAGAGATATGTGGTAAAATTAGTATTATATTCTGTCAGAAACAAAACATTCTATTCTAATACAGTACGCCAATATTTCTGGAGATTGGTGTAACAATGTGTTTTACAAGGTCGCTCCAGTCAAGTTTTTCATTCATGCACCAAGGAACTTAATTTGTGCATGTCTTTCTCTCTAAAGAAATATCATCTAGTTAATTTATGTAGTTATATGATTAGATTGCAGGCACAAACCTAGTTATAGAATCATCTAGAATCATTATAGAATTAGATTGCAGGCACAAACCTTTTTCAATCAAAGCACCCCCCAAAAGTGTCTAAAATACGAGACTATAATGGTCTTTGCCAACCCGGCGGTCTAACTGCACAATAAATATAGTCTTAGCTGACACGGCTATATAGACCAGGGCATGTAAAGTCTCACCTCCCTGGCTAGACCTAAGATATAAGTTTTGTGCAGAGCCTATAGGCCTATAGGCTCTGCACAAAACTTATGGAATTGTTTGTTATTATTGTGTCAACTACAGTCTGTGTTTGCAAACTACACGACTTGGTAGAGATGCACGCTCAAAAATAAAGAAACAGTGTAAACGCTAAATAAAGTCTCAAACAACCTACACCATTATATACACTTCACTTGAAGCTCACTCACACATGATATATTGCGAAACTTCCAAGGCTATATGTATTTCAAGTTCATGTATATATTATATACAAAGTAACGGCTACTTAAATCATTGGTCTGGAACAATTATTTGCCCATTTTCACAAACGATGAATATACATTGTAATGCAATTGTCAAGTTTAATTATTAGGTTTATAGCAGTGGTCTCGTAATCCCGTGACCCGGGATCGAAACCAAGGCGATGCGCTAGTGCCCTTTGGTAAGGCATTAATCCATTTACCAGGTCCCTCGGAGAGGACCTAAAGCCGTCGGCCGTCTGGTTGCTTACTAACAAGCATATATGCTTTCTTAGCAGTCAGGTAAAATAACCAACCAACCAACCAATTTAGGAGAATAGAAATTTGATGTTGTCAAGTTGTTCGATAACATCAATGAGTTTGATTTGATTGATATAGCTCATCATAAATAAAAGAGTGTCTCAAACAAACCTACACCATTACCAGGGGCGGATCCAGGACTTTCTTGCCGGAAGGGGGGTGCACACGGGGGGGGGGGGGAGGAGGCACACGGTTAGAAAGAGATAATAATAATTTTTTTTTCTAGTCCCAAACAAAATTCGCAACAACTTAAGAGGACACTTTTTTTTTTTTTTTTTTTGGGTCACGAAATTTTTAAATTTGACATTTTGTTCCGTTGGGGGGGGGGGGGGGTAAGGCCACCTTTTTCAAATTTCAAACATTTAAGTGATAAGATCAGTTAAATAAAATCACCAAATATTAGGAGTGTCACAGAAATAATAAATATAATCCATTCATTTTTTTTTTCTACACTGATGCAAATACCGTAAAAAAAATATATATATATTTGTGAGCGAATTAATCGTCCATTTTGAATGTACACTGGACCAATAAATGATAAGCTGGGTGATGATTTTTGTATTTTGGCCTAGTTTAGGTCTACTCTTGGCAAAAAATAGATATTTAAAATGAAACTAATAATAATCAATTATTATAAATAAGTCTAATAATGATCATACATAAATGGTATTCATCTCGTAATATCATTTGTTTTTTGAAAATTAAACTATTAAAGTGAAACAGATAACTAGAAACATACTTCTACCTCAAAAATAATATTTTCCATGAGTGACGGTAGAAAATAACAATAAATTGTATACGAACATAATTTTCACAAACAGACCGCTAGGGTACAGACCGGGGGGGGGGGGGGTACTCACGTATATCTGGTATAGGGGATGTGCCGCTCGTAAGGGTGACATTTTTAGGAAAGATCCTTAAACATGGGTCGACGATATCCCCTTTTCATCAAGAAAAATCCTTAGACATGGGTCCCATTAAAAAAAAACCGGGTCCCCTTTTCCATTTATTCCTTTCCCCTCTTATTTTCACCAGGATTTTGGGATTTGCTCCTAAAATACTCATGAACTTCGAACCTTGAACTTCGTGTTTAATCATAGAAGTTCAATGCAGGGGCGGCCGAGCCACTTCCAAAGTGGGGGGGGGGGGCGCACCAAGAAAAAGGGGCACTTTCTGGAAAAAAGGGCACCTACAAAGGGAAATCTCAAAGCGAAAATATACAATCTTTTAGACATAGGTATATACCCCTATATTGTGATTACATTATCAGGGATGATTTCAATATTTGTTTTACTTTATACACCATACAAGATTGCTCAAGGATCATGCTTTGCAGTCGGGTGTGATGGTCTGGAAAATTATTTGCGAACGAGCGAAGCGAGCAAGGAATTCTTTTTAATATTTGTGAGATCGCAGTTCGAAAAGTTACATCTTATAAAGAGGAAAACCCCAATCCTGATGGGGTTATAAGCACATTCTTATAACGGAAGACTGAATAGACCTTTAGTAGGTAACATAAGTGTATCATCTACATCTAAGGTGGTACTGGACAGGACCAATTGGTATATACGTCTATATCATCTTTAGATGCGTGCGAGCATAGCGAGCGAGCTTCGGAGTAATTTCTCTTAGTCGCTTGAAATTTGGGGCTCGTTTAATGATGAAAGGAAAAGGGGACATTTATCTGAAAAGAAAAGGAGCATTTTGTCAAAGTACAAAGAGTAATTATCAGAGGTGAAAATGGGGCACTTCTTACACCTTCAAAAAGAGGCACTCAACCAGGGATGAAACAAAGTCAGTCATGAAAATAGGAGATGGACATTTGTCGACGGAAAGGGGGCCCCCATCGGATTTTGATAGGGGCATTTATAGGAGGTGGAGGGGGGGGGGGGGGGGGACAGGTCCCTTATTAGAAAGGAAAAGGGGCACGTATCATTGTTAAATGGGAAATTATCAGAGGTGAAAGGAGGAACTTATCGCACCTGAAAAGGGACAATGACCTGATATGAAAAGAGGCACTTATATGTGCATTAGTTGAAAGAAAATTGGCACCGATCAGATTTTAAAGGGGCATTTATCAGAGGTTATCGGGGCATTTACCACAGAAGGGGCACTTATGGGAGTGGGCTCTTTTTAATGGGGCACTTGTCATTAGGAAAAGGGGAACTTATTAGAAAGGAAAAGGGGCATTGGTTGAAAGAAAATAGACATATCGATCAGATTTTAAAGGGGCATTTAATATGTGAAAATATAAGGTGCGCTTATCCGAGTTAAAATGGGGTAGTTATTAAAAGGGGTAGGGGCACTTATTACAAAGGAAAAGGGGCACCTTTCAGATTTGAATAGCGCAATTATCAGAGGTGAAGGGGGCACTTATCAAAATTGAAAAGAGGCACTTTCTCGTACCTGAAAAGGGGCACTTCTAGAGATTGAAAAGGGCACTTATGAGAATGGAAATTGGACACTTATTGCAAAGAAAGGAAAAAGGGAACTTGTCGAAGGAAAAGGGGCACGTGTCCAAATAAAAGGGGCACTTATCAGAGTTGAAAAGGGGAAGAGGCACTTTTAAAAATTAATATGGGAGCTTGTCAAAGTAAAAGGGGCACTTTTCCAATGTAAAAAAGGGAACTTTTCGGGTGCTTGAGAAAGTCCCCCCCACCGGGAGGGCCGCCTCTGGTTCAATGGTTATAAACCAACCTGAGGTATGAACGATCAACGACTGTCACATCATTTTATTTTCAGTTTCTGAAAAAACGCTTTTGAGAATTGAAGTGCGCCATCTGCGAAAGTACTTTGCCAAATTACAGGGATGCTGCTCCTATGTATTTTTGATGTCCATAAATGATATTAAACATAATAGAAGTAGAAAGATTTGTTGTAAAATTAGTGATAAAAATACAGAATGTAGTTTTATTATTCTTTATCAATGTATTTCACTATGATTTTGTGTATGAACTGATTGTTGAATGCTCTAATAGGTGGTACAAGGTCTATTGTAATTGCATGGATGATATTATAGAGAGAACACCCCTTAAATTAAAAAAAAGAAATCGATGATTTGTTTTTCCCTTCTGCTGGAGAAATTTGAAGTATCTACGTCAAAATTGACAAAAATATTGCCTTTTGAGACTGAGCGTAGTGAAAACCCAACATTAACGTCTTCGGGAGATGGATAAGAGAACACGCAGGACTGTCTGGGAAGCTAAAAAGGCTGCTAGACCAGGTAAATTTTGTATTTTAGTTCAATTTCTTCCATCTTTTTTTCGGCGCTGTTTCCTAGTTTTCCGTTTGCATTGTTCTGCAGTGTGCATCATACCGTCACGCACTGTCCGCGCCCAGAAGCTTCAAGCGCAGCGGAAGCGGGGAAAGTGTCGTCCCCAGAAGTAGCGGCACGCCGAGCATACTAATTTGGGTGGCAGATCTCGGAACCGCGGCAGCGGCCGCGTCAAAATTGAACGACATGATAATTAAGAATATAATTATAAAGATCTAGATCTAGACTCTATATTCAACTTAGTCGACATTTTGCTTTGAAAATTAGAAAGATTAGAAAATGTGAGGTTCCACTTGGTGTCAAAACTAAAATAAACCTCGAGACAAGACAAGTCCTGACTTTGTTCTTTATTCTTTATTTTAGACATCTAGATCTAGACCTATGATATGATAGTTAATTATGACATGATTGGTTGATATTGATATTGATTGAATAATTAATAACCAGATTAACTGCACACCGCGCCGGAGCCACTACTCTAACAGTTAGAGTACTCTAGTCTTATTTTATCATATATCAATTATGGTATGTTGGCATGGGGCAAATCATCCAAAACTCAAATCCACAGGCTTTTTGTTGTGCAGAAGCGGGTTATTAGAATAATTTGTAAAGCAAATTATCGTGCACATACAAATCTACTTTATTATGAAAACAGTATTCTAAAACTAGAAGATCTATATTCAATGCAACTTGGAATGCTCATGTTTAGCATTCACTCTGGAGACCTCCCTCCTGCCCTTGCTCAAATCTTTAGAAGAAATAACCAAATTCACAGCTATAATACTAGACAGGCTTCTGCTCTCCATTTACCATATGCAAGGACAACCTTCACTTTGAATACACTAATGTCCACTGGCCCCAGGTTCTGGAATTCACTTGATACTACCATAACAAATGCTTCAAGTATCTCAGTTTTTAAACGTAGACTTAAGTCATATTTTCTTGACAAGTATGTCGATGACACATGAATGTGTTATCAAGCTTTATTGTTAGTGTACTGTAGCATATTTAACTCTACTCTTGATCTTTTTTTCGTTAATTCTTGACTTTGACATATAACCCCCTTTATCCCTTTTCTTTTTTCTTCTTCTTTCTCATCTGTACATACTACATATACCATATATTCCTACTTGACCTCTGCACTCAGAGAGCAATAACTCATTGATGTCTCGACTTGGTGTCGGCTTGGGTTTGTCCATATTAGATCATATTAGATGCAACGTTGGGTAGTTGTTCTCTGAGAGTATTTTGTAAATAGTTTTATATATTCCATATTTGTTGTTGTATTCATAAATAAGTTATCTTTGTCACATCATATGAGGGGGCCTTAACTTAACAAGCTGTGCTTCAACCAAGGTCTCCTCGTCTTCCTTTGTTCTACATTGTACTGTTATGATTATACTCTATTATATTTTGTCACATGTGTTTTCTGGAAGACAAATAAACTTGAAACTTGAAAAAACTTGAAACTTAGTCTAGAGTAGATCTAGACTAGATCTAGATCTTGACCATGATTTCCTCAGAATGAGGATGAGAATGAGGATCATCCGCATATTAATGAGGATGTCCAATGTAAACGCGGAACAAATGCATCCTAAAAAATAAGGATGGTCTGCGACGATGTGCAAAAACAGATTCCATAAAATACCCCTGGTTCACTGTCTACTTTTATGGGTTGTCCGTGTCCCGAGGATTTATCACTCTTTAGAACGTGAAGTAAATTTGTATCAAGAAAATCATCGCGGAATCCATTTTTCGCATTGCCAATTATCATTATCAATTATTTGTCTTCTTGACATCCAGAACTCCGAGATCTTGGAGATTGGGAGCGGTTTCAATTCTGTGCCAATTTCCAGCCTCACATCGAAGCCGTACGAGCCAAAGACAACTGTCACAGAGTCGACGTGAACGCAGTGACAACCGATGAGTTCATTGAACTATTTGAGAAACCTGGACGACCGTGTGTCATAGTGAAGGATCAAGATACGTGGCTGGCGCAAAAGAAATGGACAGTGCGGGTGAGTAGGCCTACACAGGGAGTGCATCAGTGCAACCTCAACCTACATGCAAACCTGGGGGGGGGGGGGGGGGGGTATTTCACAAAGATCCTAAGTTGAACTTATCTCTAAATTGGACTAAACAATTATGGAAAGCCGTTAGCATCTTTGAAATATTTTGTAAACATTATTTTAAAAAGCATGAAATGTTGATTTAAATAGTTCATATTTTCTATTATCAAGGAGATTTCATGTTCTTGATGTGGAATTTATGAAAAGTCTAAAATACTTGAAATTTTGCAGTAGCATATATTTCATTTTAAGGCTACAAATGGCTCTCCATAATGTTTAAGTCACACTTAGAGTTAAGTTCAACTTAGGATCTTTGTGAACCCTGGACCTCTTAGAACTCATCTGATTGGTTTTGTGTATGTTACTTAGCAACTCGTCAAGTATGGGGTCAGGGTACTTGTAGATCTGGGCCCAGTTTCACAAAACCTGCCATCAGTGACAACTGACAGTTTTTGTTAAATAAACTAGTGAAATCCTTGCTTTTATTTGGTTATCGACAGATTTGTCACCGTTTCCTGTCATTTGTCATTGAAAAAAGTCAGTGTGAAACGGGTCCCTGGGCCCAGTTTCATAAAACTCGTCATCAATAATAAATGCTAAATTTCTATTATGACAGATTTGTTCTCAGCCAATCAGATGCCACGGTATCACTTATTGTAACTTGTTGCTAGTGCTGTAACATCACGGATATCTCCAATACACCAGTTTACAGTTGTGTGCGCCATTTTAATTGGCGAGTAAACAAAGCCAATGACCTAGAGGTCAATGGTATTTATGCGTAAATTAAGATTGCGCCCATGCAAATGATGATATGCGCGCACAACGCAGCGCGCAGGCAGTGTTATCATCATCATTTGCATGGGCGCAATCTTAAAATACGCATAAATACATGACCTCTAGGTCATTGGCTTTGTTTACTCACCATTTAAAATGGCGCCCATGTCTGCGCATGCGCACTGATACAACTGTAAACTGGTGTATTCCGTTTAACCGCCAGTCAAAATAAAAAAAAATTAAAAATTAAAAAAAAAAAAAAAAAAAAAAGCGGAAAGGACTTTCATTTAACTACGAGGTGCATTTGAAGGCACCAATTTGTGCTTGTGAACTTGTTACAAATAATATTAACAATGTCGTTTTTATAAGAATGTGTAATGTAAATTATTATAAACTACATATTGAGATCTATTACAAAGATTGCTTTCAAACCAAGATGACAGACAAATTGGAGTGTTGTTGTAGTTTCAGAGGGGCGAGTCAACACACAGATTACTGAGCTGGGAGACATTGCCAGGGGGAGGGGCATAAATTGAAACTAAAAAAAAAAATAAAAAAAAAATTAATAAAAAAAAGAATATTAAAAAAAGAAAAAGAAAAGGAAAACAAAACCGTCCAATTGAAAACGGAATCTGCCATGGGCGGTCGGATACTGGACGGTTAAACGTTTGACTACAACATTGTAACTTGTTACCATAATGATGTTTTATGAAACAGGGCCCAGAGTTGAGGAAGGAGAAAGTTGTCGTCTTGGAATTCAACCCCCCCCCCCTACCAATTGTTAGCAGTGTAGGCTATATTTGAATGAAGAGCACCTGAATCGAGTCAACTAGTGAATGTAGCTAATAATTGACTTCCTGCGTCCACTGTGTTCGATTACTCAGGTGCAGCAGTGAATTCATGACACGATCCCACCCAAGTTTGAGCTTACGAGTGATGCAGCGCCCCCTACCATCTCGGAGAAGACACTTCTCAGCTGGTGTATGCACATATTGTATAGAATAATGCTTGTTAGCATGACCATCTCCCCACCCTCTCCCTCCCGCTATAAACCAATGTTACGTGTTCCTTGGTAAAAGCTAACCATTACCGTAATCAATGGCATAAATATTCATAATTTAATGATACATGCCTTAAAACTAAAACATCAACCAATGGAATTGTTTTGGTCCGTACAGTGAAGGGACACTGGCATGGGGGGGGGGGGGGGGCCTGCTTTTTGTTGAATGTTTAAAGGTATAGACCAGTTCTGGTCATGCGAATGCATTGTGAAAGCAACGTTGTGGAATCGATCAGAAAAGGTCGATCATCTAGCATATAAGTATTGGTGTGTACTGCAAGGTTCTGGAATCATCAAAATGATAAGAAATTTGGCCCAGTCTTGGTAAAGTTGCAAGCACTGTAGACAGAAAGATGTATATGGAACTACCCTATATCTATCCATTCCGGATTGATATAATAATTTTCCAAATATTTCCTTTAGTGTACCTGCAAAATTTGTATCATGTTTTAGTCAAAACATATTCTTTCACATGATTGATAATAAGAGCTTCCATTTCCTTTTTTGAGAAGAGGGGGAGTTTCCAAAACTGGTCTTTACCTTTAACATGGACTTGCCCACTGGTAAAATTGTAATTTTGTTGTTAATATTCAACTTTTCAGAGGCTGGCCAAGAAATACCGCAATCAGCGCTTCAAGTGCGGCGAAGATGACGAGGGCTACTCCGTGAAAATGAAGATGAAATATTACGTGCAATACATGCAGAACAACAGGGACGATAGCCCCCTCTATATCTTTGACAGCAGCTTTGCAGACGTAAGTTCTTGGGGGTGTTTCACAAAGATCCTAAGTAGAACTTATCTCTAAGTTGGACTTAAAAGTTCTGGACAGCCATTGGAGTCTTAAAATGAAATATATCCAAAGGCAAAAATTCAAGTATTTTAGACTTTTTATAAATTCAAGTATTTTAGACTTTTTATAAATTCAACATCCAGAACATGAAATCTCCTTGATGATAGAAAATATGAATGATTTGAATAAACAATTAATGCCTTTCAAAATAACTTTACAAAATATTTTCAAAGATGCTAATGGCTTTCCATAATTTTTAAGTCCAACTTAGTGTTAAGTTCTACTTAGGATCGTTGTGAAACACCCCCCAGGAATCACAGTTTTACTATTCAAAGTCAGGAAGACCTCAGTCTAGCAAACAGAAAAGTATTTTGTCACAGACAAAAGCTCTTGCTTGATTGATGACACCATTGCAGGGAGGCGTTTCACAAAACTTGTCTTCAGTGACAAATGGCAGTTTTTGTTATAAGCTACTGAAATCCTTGCTTCTGATTGGTTGTCAACAGATTTGTCACTGATTTTTGTCATTTGTCGTTGAGAAAAGGCCTTGTGAAACGGGTCCCAGAAGTGAGTGTAGGAATGTTAGATGTAAGAAACATTACAGATTGTCGCCCATCTTTTTAATCTTTGATAGGAGCCACACATTGTTTGCAGACTACGTTGCAAGAAAGGCTATAGAAAGACTGAAGCTCATTTTTAAATCTTTGATGCTCTGCAGACATAAGTTGATAAAATGTATGAAAGAAAGAATATACAATGAATATATATATTATCATCAATAGCAGCTTTGCAGATGTTAGGTGAGGAAATGTTATAGCTGTGCAAGAAAAAGAGATTAATGCAGTCCTTTTTGTAGCTTTGCAGAGGAAAGTTGTCAAAATACAATCTGCACATAAGCAAGGGTCTGGCTTAGACTTTGGCAGGTTTCAATAATTTGAGCCTAAATGAAGAATAACCTTTCGGTTTATCCTCGTCCTTTTATTTCTTCTCCCCCCTAGCATCCGAAGCGCAAGAAGCTGCTTGAAGACTATGTGGTACCACACTTCTTTCAAGATGATCTCTTTCAGTTTGCTGGGGATGAAAAGCGTCCCCCGTACCGCTGGTTTGTGATGGGCCCAGGGCGGTCAGGGACCGGGATTCATATCGACCCGTTAGGCACTAGCGCTTGGAACGCTCTAGTCAAAGGTCATAAAAGGTAAGTCGTTTTATGTTTGTTATAAGATGGTGAAGCGGATCCTAATCAAATGATTGGTTGAAAGCGTACACGTGACCAGGCATTTATTTTGCCTTATACGTAATTTTACTAATGACCGGTCATTAGTAAATGCTTATGACTAGTCATTAGTCATTAGTAAAACATCATTTTATGAAACAAATAAAATATAATCTTATGAAACAAATAATACACATCATTTCGTTCGGGCATTAGTAAAATTACCCACACTTGGTACCTCTGAAACAGTCCATACACCCTCGGCTATCGCCTCAGCGTGTTAGACTGTTCCAAAAGTACCTTGTTTGGGTAATTCTTACTAATGCCCTCACTGCCGTGTAATATTTGTATACTATCTATCATCGCTGGTAGCGATAAAGCTAGTAATATGGTCATATGAAGGTATCAATGAGCTGATCAGTGTTTGGTCAGAAATATTGTAATTCAAAGTAGCACTCAGAACGGTCTAGTCCAAGGTCTGAAAAGGTTGTTTTGATTTGTTTCCATTATGGGATTTTTACACAAGATAAATCTAGTGTGAGGTTGTAAATGTATTTTCTCATTCTTGACTCTTGAGAGACAAATGTATTGTCATTATAAATCTAAATTAGGACAAGTCTCTAGCTAAGGTCTACATAACACTGGTTGATTGATTGATTGATTGATTCATTTATTCTTTTACACAAGATAAATCTGGGCTTGTAAATCTATTTTTTCATTCTCGTTCTTGAGAGGGAAATGTATTGTCATTATAAATCTAACTTAGGACAAATCTCTAGGTAAGGTCTACTTAAGGAGGAGGCACGATAGCTCAGTCGGTAGAGCAGTGGTCTCGTAATCCGGTGACCCGGGTTCAAAACAAAACCAAGGCGATGCGCTAGTGCCCTTTGGTAAGGCATTAATCCTCATTACCAGGTCCCTCGGAGAGGACCTAAAGCCGCCGGCCGTCTGGTTGCTTACTTACAAGCATTTATGCTTTCTTCACAGTCGGGTAAAATAACCACCACCATTCATTAACCATTCATAATGCTGGTTGAATGATTGATTGATTTATTCATTCATTCATTCATTTCTTTTTGTTTTACTTGTAGATGGTGCATGTTCCCAACTCAGACGCCCAAGGAGCTGGTGAAACCGTCCATTAACGATGGAGGCAAGCAGAGGGACGAGGCAATCATGTGGTTCTCACACGTCTACCCTCGCACTCAAGACCCGTCATGGCCGCAGGAATTCAAACCAGTAAGATGCTTGCTCCTAATATCGAATCTAAATATGCCTCTTAAAGGCCTACTCCACTATTTATAGCTACTTGCGCCCTCTATATAGCAAACAATGCCTAATCGGTGACTGTTGGTCCGCCACGATCCTCTTTTTCTTAGTTTAATTGAGAGCTGATTTGATGGGATAACCACCTGTCAGTGACCTTGCAGGGAGGTCTAATCCACCTGGCCAAACTAGTGCAGATGGGCTTTAATGTGTCTTTATGTTTGTTGGCCAAAAGAGAGGTAGATGTATGTTGAAGGTCCACAACTAGATAAGGCGATTAAAAACGGATGTGTTATTTACGTATATCCTCTTACCCAAATCCCTCACTACCACATCGTTTTGAACCTTGATTCAATCATTGCCATCACTCTTGTTCAAATTTCTCTCATTCTTTTTCCTCTTTGGCCTCTGTCTGTCTGTTTAGATTGAGATTCTTCAAGGCCCTGGTGAAACCGTGTACGTTCCGGGAGGCTGGTGGCACGTCATTCTGAACCTTAGTACAACCATTGCTGTCACTCAGAACTTTTCTCATTCTTTTTCCTCTTTCTCTCTCTGTTTAGATTGAGATTCTTCAAGGACCTGGGGAAACTGTGTACGTTCCGGGAGGCTGGTGGCACGTTGTTCTGAACCTTGACACAACCATAGCCGTCACTCAGAACTTCTGCAGCAGGACAAACTTCCCTGTAGTCTGGCATAAGACCGTTAGAGGGCGCCCTAAACTCTCCAAGAAATGGTTCAAGTCCCTTCAGGTAAAATTCTGTTTTCTTTGCTCAACTTTAGTTGTCTTTGTCTCTTTGTGCTAGCCTCACACACTCTATCACCCCTCCCCCCTCTCCCTCCCCCTCCCTCTCTCTCTCTCTCTCTCTCTCTTCCACTTTCCCAAATTTCCTCAGGTTCTTTACACATCTCTTTCTCAATGTTGCCCCCCATCTCTTTCACCATGTTCCTCAATCAATCTTCTCTATCACATCAGTGGAGTGTTTCACAAAGACTAAGATCGACTTAAAGTTTGACTAACTATGGCAGGCTGTTCATGCCACTAGTTCCTCTAACCATTCCTGGCATTGGTTTCTCAAGGGACGTACAAATCATGGTCGCAAATCTACATAATTTACCTGTTTTGGTAGTTCAATATTGGAGGGAAAAATATTATCTAAAGATCATAATTGAGAGACCAATGGTGAGAGCAACCAGTGGCATGAATGGCCTGTCATAGTTAAGTCCAACTTAAAGTCGATCTCAGTCTTTGTGAAACTCCCCCCTGTATTGATTTTTTTGCTTTGTTTTTACAAATATTTGTTCGTTTTATCCTTTTTTTCCCTTTTTTTTTCTTCCCTTTTTTTTCTTCCCAAGTCTCTTTTAATCTTATTTCTTTCGCTCTCTCTGGCCTGGCCAGCAAATGAAAAATGGCAGTCCAGGCCTTCAAGCCATAGCAAGTTCAGAGTCAATACTCAAGTTACTTTCTGCAAGATTGCTTGTATGCCTCAAGTGCAATTTTGCACAAAACAATGAGCACCAATTGCCAGAAAATAGTACTTTGTACAACAAAATTGATTTGCAAAATTACACATTTCAAACTGGATCACCAGAGTTTACATCTGTTATATTAAGCCTTGTTTCTGTTATGACGTAAAGTGTACTATGCTTAAAGATGAAGACCAGTTCTCGTCATGCGATTGCATTGTGAAAGAAACGTTGTGGAATCGATCAGAAAAGGTTGATCATCTAGCATATAAGTAACGGTGTGTACTGCAAGATTCTGGAATCATCAAAATGATAAGAAATGTGGCTCAGTCTTGGTAAAGTTACAAGCACTGTACACAGAAAGATGTATATGGGACTATGCGACACGTGCGTTATATCTATCAGGTCCAAATAGATATAATAATGTACCAAATATATCAATAGTAGGCGGTTTCTCGGCTAAATTCGTATGATCATGTATTTAATATTCAAAACATATTCTTTCACATGATTAGTAATAAGAGCTTCCATTTCATTTTTTGAGAGGGGGGCGTTTCCATAACTGGGACCCGTTTCACAAAGCCTTATTTCAATGACAAATGACAAAAATCAATGACAAATCTGCTGATAACCAATCAGAAGCAAGGATTTCAGTAGCTTATAACAGAAATTGTCATTTGTCACTGATGACAAGTATTGTGAAACACCCCCCCTGGTCTTTACCTTTAAGTTTTACCGTTCTCTCTATGTCATTCATGTTATTGTAACAGAGAGAATGGCCAGAGATAGCAGCTATGGCTGACCACGTGGATCTATCCAAGCCCAGCGGTCTGCAGTCTGATAGCTCCTCGGATAGCTCTAGCTCCAGCTCCAGTGATGACAGCGCTTGCTCCTCGTGCGAAAGCAGCGGGAACGAATCCGAGGCTGAGAAACGTCACGATAAAAGAACTAAAAGGTAAATAGGAACCTTGAAAGGATGAGGAGGGGGAGGGGGGGGGGGGGGGGGAGGTAGATCCCAATTTTTTTTCTCTACAGTTTCAGTGGTGGTAGCGCTTGTCCCTCGTGCGAAAGCAGCGGTAACGAATCTGAGACTGAGAAACGTCATGATAACAGAACTCAAAGGTAAATAGGTACCTTGAAAGGATGAGAGGGGGGGGGGGGGGGGGGAGGGGGCGTGGGGAAGTTAAGATCCCATGTTTTCCTCTACAGTGTCAGTGGTGGTAGCTCTTGCTCCTCGTGCAAAAGCAGGGGGAACGAATCCAAGGCTGAAAAATGTCATGATAAAAGAACTAAAAGGTATAATAATAATAATAATAAAAACGTTACTTATAAAGCGCTTACCACCGAAGTCTCTAAGCGCTATACACACAAAATAGACTGATATACAATTACATCTTATACAAAACTAAAAATAAAAAAAACATACAAATTACAATACATATGGAATACACATCATGGTATATAGGTACCTTGAAAGTAGAAGTGTCGTAGTCGGGTGGTTTAAGCACTTGACTTGCAATTCAAAGGTCGTGGTTCGATCCCCGATATGGCACTAATGTCCTTTGGCAAGGCAGTAATCTTCATTTGCCACCCAATACCCAAGAGAGAAATGGGTACCTGGCGCGATGAAGAAAGCATTTGTGAAAGTAATTACCTATGCCCCCACGGTGACCATATGGAAGAAATACTCCCCAGGCAGTGGAAATGTTGCAGATTGTGCATGAATGAATCTGATGACCGGGGTAATAACACAGTCAAACCTGCTTTAGTGACCGCCTGTCAACAAAGGCCACTTTTTGTGTTTCCCTTGGGCGGTCGCTATAGACAGGTTTGACTATTTTTAAAGCGCTTAGAAACGATATATCGTATTTAGCGCTATATAAATCCCAATTATTATCATTATTGAAAGGATCGGAGGAGAGTGGGGTGGGGGGTGGGGGAAGGTAGGGGTGGAAGGCAGATCCCCATTGTGAGGTGAGGTAGTCCAGTGGTTTAATCACTTGACTGAAATGCAAAGGTTGTGGGTTCAAATGTACATGAAGTAATGCACTGTTGGCTTCAAACAGACAATATAGTCTACCCGCTCCATACATACTGAGTTAATAAAGTAAACCAGTCTCTTAATTTATTCTTATCCATAATGTATTATGTGATGGTATTTACAATTATAGTCCCTATTATCATATAACATGAATCCTACAGAACCCAATAATAATTATGTCTTGAAACAATTTTCTTTTCTATTTATCTCAAAAGGCGCAAGGTTGGGAGTGAAGGTGGCACGGATATACAGGAAAACGTGACACACTATGACCCCAGAACGCACATGACGTACACCAGATGACACGGCCAATCAGCTTCAAGCATTCATCCAGGGGCATCCTGGGATAGATTGTAATATTACTGAGTGCTAGCCAGGAGGGTTGCGGACGCAAGGTGTTGCCATATTTTGAAACTGCTTCGTTTTGGAAGCTGAAGTTGTAATACTACTATTCGCTATTCAGAGGATGTATTGTACAGGTATAATATAAACCAAGAAGCATTTGCATATTGCCATAATGACATCCATTTTAAAGCCCCACTGTACTACTTGTAGCTACTTGCTCCCTCTATATAGAAAACAATGCCTAAGCGGTGACCATTGGTCCCCCACGATCCTCTATTTCTTATGTTAATTGAGAGCTGAGTTGATGAGATGGCCACCTGTCAGCGACCATGCTTGGGTGGTGTAATCCCTCCTGGCCAAACTAGTATAGACAGGCTTTAAGGCAAGTAACTTACGTGTATTGCAAAAAATTCAGTGCTGTGTCGTTTGTGATTTAATTCTTCTGCAGCATAAAACTTTTTTTACAAATCTGAACAATATTTGAAAACATTTCACGATCTTAAAAGTCTCTGGTTTTTACTACAGTCTGAGAAGAAATGAAATCTTTAGGATGCGATTTTCTTGAATCAACATCTGTTGTCGGCACATCATTTTGTGCTTTTGTACTAGACATAAAATTGATTTCCTGTAAGGGGAAGACCAACCTGATATTAAAGGGAAAGTCCACCCCCAAAATAAGTTTGTTTCGATAGAGGCAGAATAATAAGAAAATCAGGTGAGTGAAAGTTTGAGCAAATTCTGAATGAAAATAAGAAAGTTATGAATTATTGAAGTTGTGATCAATCAAATACAAATTGGCAACTCTGTGACTTATTATACGAGCTCTCCTTCATTTGCTTTGTGCATAATATTCCATAAAATCATGTTTTCTTCGTTATTGATGACGGAATATATATTTGTTCCTTGCAGGGGGAGTATAGAAACATATTTGCAATTATTATATTTAGGGTGCATGTATGGTTGAAATTCTTCTTGAGGGAAAATGAAAATTTTAGATTTTTTTAGTACTGAGCAAATGGAAGTTGAGCTCGCATGATACGTCATAGAGTTGCCAATTTGTGTTTGATTGATCACAACTTCAAAAATCCTAACTTCCTTATTTTAATCGGAATTTGCTCAAACTTTCACTGACTTGTTTCTCTCATTTTTCTACTCCTATTAAAACTAACTTAATTTCAGGGTGGACTTCCCCTTTAAGTTAGTTTTAATAGTAACAGACAATAAGAGGAACATGGTGAAAGTTTGAGCAAAATCTGATTAAGAATAAGAAAATTATGAATAGTTTGCTCCCATTTGCTCTTTTCTAAAAGTGACATTTTCATCATGTTGGTTAAAAATAGCTTAATTTTTCCCTGTAACGACGTATCTCGCTAAAAGTGAAAAACAAAAAAAATGTTTATTGTGTCAATCTCGGTGTAACTCAAATGACTTTTAGCAGATAGATATTTAATTTTTATTTTTATTTGTGTCATTACCAAACAAAGTACAGCCTTTTCACACAGGAGTAAAATTCATTGTATCTAGAGCTGATTAGCTTAAAGCTTTAAAGAAAATTTTCACTGTGTGAACGTCGTTTATACAATGTTCGGACAGATACAAAGTCGCTATTCATACGCCGGTCAAAGCAGGCTGCAGATACAAAGCCCATATCTAGAGAGCAAAACATTTTGTGCGTGAACGGATAGATACTTCCTTAACTAGACCGGGCACTGCTCTTTAAACGCTCAGTAGGGCCATTGCGCATTTACGAGCAGTGACTCGCTGCTTGTAAATGCGCAATGGCGTTTAAAGAGCAGTGAATCTCGAACGACCGCACCAATATTTTCTGTGTGTGAAATAAAATGATGTATCTAAAGCTGATTTTAGTTTAAAGCTCTTTAACTAATCAGCTTTAAAGAAGTTTACCCCTGTGTGAAAAGGAGCACATATATTGAGGGAGTGTGCCAGATAAGCATATTATTAATTACCTACCCATCCTAGTGCCATATCCTGTAGAATGTATACTGATCTTTATTTTTCTTTTTCCCCCTATATTTTCCTTAAAATTTGAGTCCAAAATGTTCAGATAAGAATAAAGAAAGTTATTTCGCTGCATGAATTCATTAGACACAATTCACTCTGTTTACAGATGTGCTATTGTGAGAGGAAATTGACAAGTCACTGTTGTACAATGCAAATGCATCTGCGTGCATCAAGGGATTCATTCTTGTAAATAAACTCATGTTATTAAAATGAAAACAAGTATTAGACAATATGACATATCATATATGTTTAAATGTTAAAAGGTGCACTCTCTGTTTATTGTAAATATGAAGGAAGGAGCGTTTGAAATAGTTCCAGGGGGGTGTTCCACAAAGATCCCAAGTCGAACTTGACTTAAGTTGGACTAGATATTATGGAGAGCCATTTGTAGCCTTAAAATAAAATATATTCAAAAGAAAAAGAAAAGACTTTTAATAAATTCCACATCAACAACATGAAATCTCCTTGATAATAGACAATATGAATGATTTAATTGAATCAACATTTTTTTTCCTTTTAAAATAATGTTTACAAAATATTTTCAATGATGCTAATGGCTTTCCATAATTATTGTTAAGTTAAACTTAGGATCTTTGTGAACCCCCCCCCCCCCCCCCCCCCCCCCCGGTATCATGCAGCATTCATTCACATTGCGATCAACTGTACATGGTCTGTGTGTACTGCAGTATGCACGGTGCATTGTGTATTAACTATACTGGCAGGCATGGTGTTTTTTGTTTGTTTTATTTTATTTTATTCCTGTTCACCACATGATTGACGTCTCTCTGTAATGTAGACAGGCATTAGAGGTTCAGTTAACTCTGCATAAACTCTGAGATGCACAAGTCAAATTTTGCCCAAGTCAAAGCATTGTTTTAGACCAAACTATGCCAAATTTGTGTTATTTATGGAGAGTTAACTGTACTTCATGAAAAGCCTTTGTTTTATGATTTGTAAGGAAAAATACTGAAAAAGCAGTTATTTTCACAAATTTTGTTAATCACTCTTTGAGGAAGAAGAGGAGGAGGAAGGAGGAGGAGGAGGAAGAAGAAAGGAAAAAAAAGAAGAAGAAAACAAAGGAGGAGGGAGGGGGAGGAGAAAGGGAAGAAGAAGAAGAGGAGGAGAAGAAGAAGGAGAAGGGAGAAGAAGAAGGAGAAGAGGCTTTTGTAAGATAGCAACAGACTGAATTAAAAAATTCTTGAGCAGGACTTCACGCTGGCAGCATAGGAGGGACCAAAGCAGTGGCGAAACTAAATGCATATTTTTGTTACCATATTTTGTTACAAGTGACTGTGACGTGCTGAAATGTTGTTAATATTCCACCTGTACCATGATTTGTATCTGGGTCATTCCATGGTAACTCGCGTTACACTTAATGGGTACATTGACACGATAATGTGCCTATGTCTTAAGAACTGCTAGGATCTACAAGATACTTTTTTCAAACATGGACAGGGTAGATATAGAACAACTGAATGAAACAAAAAAGAAAATTGAAGAACAAACATTTTTAGATTCTTAGATTATTGAATTTCGGTAACTCGCGTTACAAAAAAAGGACATGGTCAATTCTATGAGACCCTCTTTTCTCCTCATACTAGACAATCTTGACAAAATCTTTCCTACTTTAATTTGATAGTAGGTTGTGACTTACTAGTATAAGATCACAATATTAAAGATAAGAAAGAATGGACTAGTAAAATGCAGGAAGCAAATATGTCGGTAACTCACGTTACGGTAACTCGCGTTACATTTTGTCCGGAGGCCATTTTCACCCCTATGTAATAGATCAAATATCACAGGACCCCTTAGAATATGGAAATATATTCATCTTTTCCATTTAGCGAAATTTTCAGGAAAAAATATTACAAGAATCCTGTGTAATCTGCAATTAATTTTTTTTTTTCATCTACAGTCCCACATGTACGTTTTTGATGATGGTTTGAGATCTTAGGAAATCAACAAAAATGAAAACTAAATTGTATTGAATTTGAAAGGCCCTAATGTTTTATGAACATCCATGGCATAAGGTTAGTGATAAATCAAAGAATTAACATAAGAGGTACATTTCTTTTTTTTTATGTCATGTCCTTCTTCTCATGGAATGGCCCATCTTCATTAAAATGGCAATGTTAAACTTGTGAGTGGATGAATAGACTCGTAGAGTCATTAGTTGATATTTATAAGTATGCCAGTGATATGATCGCAACTACTCTTTAACAAAGATCCTAAGTTGAACTTATCCCTAAGTTGGACTTCACAATTATGGAAAGCCATTAGCATCTATGAAACTAGTTTGTAAAAGTTATTTTAAAAGGCATAAAATGTTGATTCAAATCGTTCATATTTTCTATTATCAAGGAGATTTCATGTTCTTGATGTAGAATTTATTAAAATTCAATTTTTGCTTTTGAATATGCCTTGTTTAAAGGCTACAAATGGCTCTCCATAGGTTTTAAGTCCAACTTAAGAGTCAAGTTTGAATTGGGATCTTTGTGAAACACCCCCCCCCCCCCCTGATATGATTATCTAGTGCTGCAGTATCCTTTTTTGTGTTTGATTATTTATTAGCTGACAATTTTATTTAAGGAATTAGGACCACTATTCTACATGCAAATCACTCTGTAACGATGTATCACAATCATTAACTTATTATTCAGCTACTTGCGCTCAGATCGATTCCTATAATTAATTTATTATTAACCAATTAGGAATTGAACTGCTATTGTCGTTAATCTGTTGAATAAGTCACTACTCATCCTCTTTCCAATAGCTGTCCATCAAGTTACTTGATAATGACATTTTTATTTTCGGTTATTGATTTTGATTACATCATATTGGGTGGTATTCCGGTAGCGCGTACTAAGTTAGTCCACACTTTTATGGAGTGCCTATTGCCAACTCATTTACCCTGTACAGATTATTTTAATCCTTGAATGAAAAGAGTCTTAAGAAATTAATTTTGCAATGAAATGGGAAGAAAAAGATAATATGAGTATGAAACGAATTCTTTGGTAGATTATCTTTGTCATGAACATTGAAGGAGGAAGATGAAAGCTAGCATTCCATAGAAGTGTGAACTAAAATTCTTGTTTAGTCTGGACTTAGTCCCGGCTTAACTTATGAGAATACCACCCATTTATTATTATCTTTATTATTATCATTATTATTGTCTTTATTATCAATATTATTATTTTTACCATTATCACAATTGTTATCTGACATTACCATTATTATTTATATTTTTATTATTCATTATTTAACATGGGTACTTGGTGTTGTTCATCTTGATTGGGGGGGGGGGGGGTGGGGGGGGGGGCATATGCTGTTTGCCTCACAGAATTGCTTTCTGTCTAATCTATTCATTTATTCAAGCTGAACATGAATATTCATATTTGCATATATTATGTACGACCTCGTAGAAGCCTTTTGCAGCCAAGTTAATGCATGTGCACCATTGTTCTGTTATCATTGTATTTTTGTTTATTTCAAATTTGCAATAGAATGCAACATGAAAGAAATTTGTCCTTTTTCTTCTCATCATTTGGAAAGATTCTTGGGTTAGAGATTGAGAGAAAGATGGGAATGGGGCTACTCGCTAGTGAGTTTGAAAATGAGATTGTGAAGAGAAAAAAATGGTGGGATACTTTTCCTTTTTTATTGTTGAAAAGAAATGTATGAAAAAAGGACATTCAGTTAAAGGGGCATGTTCCCCATATTCCAGAGGGCGCTCAAAATACATACGTGCTGGCGGACGGTGCTATAGCTGCATATTGACACCAACAGAATACGGCTCTTATGCATGTTCCGATAACTACACAAGCGGGAACGTGCCCCTTTAAAGTCACATAGAAGTCAGCTCTCATGGGGAATTCGACACCGTTCGGGTGTTTACCCAAATAACAGGTGTTGTCAATCACCAGGGTTAGCCTCGAGTTTTATGACCATTATACCTTATGTAATGCTTTGCTTTTCCTTCGCCCGAATAATCTCCGAGCATGCTCCGAGAGACTAGGGGGTAATTCTTAACGGGCTGTGCAGAGTTGTACTCCCATTAATGGTATTTCCACCAAGTCTGGTGTCAGCGAATTATAGCCTTCTGCACATGGAAACTGACTACCCACTCCCTTTAACTCTGCATACGGTAACTAAAAAAAGGCGGACAAGTCAAATTTCTGAGGTCAAGTAATTTGTTTGTACTGTACCAAACTATGCAAACCATATCATTTAAACTTTCCGAGTTGAAGTTTTGCACATTTTTGCCTTCCCAACATAATTGCTTTATGCAGAGTTAACCGTTTGTCTAGATGACTGATACAGATAGAGAGAAAGACGAGGGATAGAGAGGGATATACTTGAGGGGAGATGAAAAGATGAAATTGAGAGAGCACATAGATCAAGGCTGAAATAAACATGGTTATTGAGAGAACAGAGAGGGGGGGGGGGATGTTTCACAAAACTTGTCATCAGTGACAAATGACAGTTTTTGTTATAAGCTACTGAAATCCTTGCTTCTGATTGGTTATCAGCAGACTTGTCACTGATTTTGTCATTTGTCATTGAAAAAAAAAAGGCTTTGTGAAACACCAACCCGGGATTCAGGAAGAAATTGAAACACTAGTACAAGATTGGGAGGGAGAGAGAAAGAGAGGGGGGGGGAGAGGAAGAGAAAGGGATTGAGGCAAGGAGAGAGGGAAAGGAAGGGAGGGGAGTGAAAGAAAGAATTGGAACAAAGGGCGAGGAAGAGAAAGAGATTAAGATTATAATATATGAAAACGATTGCCCTTGAAACACAGAAACAAGATTGGGAGAGAGAGAGAGAGAGATGGAGGAAAAGAAAGGGATTGAGGGAAGGAGAGAGAGGAATGGAGAGGAGTGAAAGAAAGAGTTGGAAACAAGAGAGAGGAAGAGGAAGGGGAGGAGAAAGAGATTAAGATTATAATATATGAAAACGATCGCCCTTAAAACACAGAAATAGGATTAGGAGAGAGAGAGGTTGAGGAAAAGAAAGGGATTGAGGGAAGGAGAGAGAGAAAGAAAGAATTGAAACAAGGGAGAGGAAGGGGAAGAGAGAGATTAAGATTATAATATATGAAAACGATTGCCCTTAAAACACAGAAATAAGATTGGGAGAGAGAGAGGTTGAGGAAAAGAAAGGGATTGAGGGAAGGAGAGAGAGAAAGGAAGGGAGAGCAGTGAAAGAAAGAGTTGGAAAAAAGAGAGGAAGTGAAAGAGAAAAAAAATAAGATTATACCTGTATATATGAAAATGATCAACAGAGAGAGTGTATGGGAGGGAGAGAAGTGAGAGAAATAGGGGATAAAAAAAGGGGTAAAGAGACCAATAATATAAAATATATGAAAACGATCGAGAGAGGGAGAGTGGGAGGAAGAGACAAAGATTAAGTTATGTGGTAAGGGTTTACAGACAGAGAGAAATTCATTAATTAGTCTTGTTGGTGGCAGTAACATCGAATTGGAATTATCAATATCCCGACTCAACTATTATCTCTGTCCTCTTTCTCAATGAGCTGAAAATCTGAGGATTCTGTCCACTGATCCCTATTGCCCAGATGCAACGTGGGTTGCAATTTTTATTGTTAACCCGTTGACTACTGAGTACTCTAATCCCCATAGGCTTAACCCTATTTTAACTGGGCTATTTCAGACCAGGTTTTTACTGGGGGGGGGGGGGGGGTCAATTTGACCCCCCCCTTAAGATCTCGGCCGTTTCAAGGCCGATCGCCGCGAAAATTTGCATACATGTCAAGTGAAGTGTATAGAATACTATGGTAATTTCAATTTTTTGAAAAATTCACTCATTTACATATTTATGGAAATTTATGCAAATAAGGTCATAAAATTCACATTTTTGCCCATATATCATACATGATTGATATTTAAGCATTCTTTTTCACTACATATATTTGTTAGACCGTTTGGAATAATAATACAACACAAAAAATTAGAAGAGCCAGGTTATTCCTTATGTTATCTCTTGTTTTGATAATTTCTTATGTATTTCATTGTTTTTTCAACTTATGTATTTTATTGTTTTTGTTGTTTTATTTCATTTATAACTACAATTCAACTATTTTGACCCCAAAACAAACACCCAAACTTTAAACAAGACTAAATAACCAATGTTTTATCTCTTTTTATGAAAAATGACATTTCCATATGTTTTGTACACAAATCACAAAAATGAGCGATTTTCGGGCTGACATGCAACAACAAAATGTCACGTGACTCCGTAACTATACGTCCGATTTTCGAAAATATTGTTTTAAAAGATGCGTAAGACTCGAAAGAAAAAAGTCATGAAAGGAAAATTTTATATCTGCCGCGGTTTCGGAGTAGTCGCGAAATTTCTACAGGGGGGGGTCAAATTGACCCCCCCCCCAGTTAACGTAGGGTTAATGCTCCTCAGGGAGTGGAAAATGTGCACACATTGTGTGCGGGTAAGCCTGAATCCGATGACCGGGGTAATAATATATCTGTAAAGCGCTTAGGCACATCATTGGATCGGTGTATTGAGCGCTATATAAAAAACGGTTTATTATTATTATTATTATACTATTATACATAGAACATCCGGTTCCAGTAGGCAATGGGCTAAAGGAGTCGAGGTGGAAACATATTTCCATGAAACAGCAAGGAATATGCAGGAGTGATAGTCAGCACCAAAAAAAAAATAGGTTTTTATTTTTTCCCTCAACCACGCCCCCCTTGAGTAAAAAAAGAAAAAAGAAGACGATTCGGGGGAAAAAATGGCATCTAACAACATTTCCACCCTTTTGAGTAAGAAAAATTGGAGAATAATAGGGAAAAATAAGGAAAAATAACGAAATTAAGGGAAAGATCGGGGAAATTGGGAGTAAATAGGGAAGAAAAAAAGGAAGAAAACAAATCAGGTAAAAAAAGATATTTTAGAAAAATCAGGAAAAAAAATCGGGAAGGAAAACAAAATCGGGGAAAAAATGGGAAAAAATGAAAAAAAAATCAGAAAACCGATTTAAAACTGGCTTTTTATCAGGCCTGAATATGTAGGTCTAAAAGCCCTATCACTCTCTTTGCGCGCATAGTGAATCTGGCGGGAAATGAAAGTGAGAAATAAGAGCACAGAGCCACTGGAAAGTAGGGGGTATCTATAACATAAAAAATCACACCAAAGAAATATCAGAACTAGAAATCCTGGTACACGGATTATATTTGTAGTATTTTATTTTACGATAACATAATTCTTGTAGCATTTTTACATTTTTTTCTTCTCTTAAATGCTGAAAGAAGAAAACAAATTCTTATTGGCATTTCCATAGATAGGGATTTCAAAATCATGAAACCCAACAAACTTTAAAGCCCCACTGCACTACTTACAGCTACTTGCGCCCTCTTTATAGCAAACAATGCATAATCGGTGCCTCTTGGTCCCCCATGATCCCCTTTTTCTTAAGTTAATTGAGAGCTGATTTGATGAGATAACCACCAGTCTGTGACCTTGCAGGGAGGTCTAATCCCCCCTGGTCGAGCTAGTGCAGACGGGCTGTAAGTTGATTGCCTTGTAATAGAAACAGTGAGCCAGTTAAAAATACATGTATCTTGAAAATACTCCTATTTGATTACGTAGAAAGGAAAAAAATATCTCCAGAGACTGCATTTTCTTTGCTGGCCACAGGAGTCACCATTTTGGTCAACCTGGTGAAGTCCATATATCACACCATATATAATCCCTATAAAGTTTTTCCTGTGCAGTGTTTCATATGCAGTTCAACAGATGTAATCCATTTGTTCTTTAGTCTTTCTACAGTGGTTTAGAAGAAGTCCAGTTTAACAGGTTCTTCTGTATCATACAGTTGTCAATGGTGATATATTATCGTCACCCAGGTCAAAATTCCAGTTGATACCAGTTGAAACCTCTAAGGATTTCCGACTGATATTTACCAGTTTGAACTGGTCACAACAGCAGCCGACACGTTCATCGCCTCAAGGCTTTCTGTTTTCATCACACAGTTGTCTATGGTAATACATTATCGTCACCCAGGTCAGAATTCTGGTTGATACCAGTTGAAACCAGTAAGGATTTCCAACTGGTATCTACTGGTTTGAACTGGTCGCAACAACAGCCAACACGTTCATCGCTTCGAAGCTTTCTTTTTCATCATATGAAGTCTCTTCATCGCAGAAGCCGTACTTGTCTGCGGCAGTGCCTTCCCTGATGCCGAGCTGCTCGACATTGCCTTCGCCGCGGCCGATGAAGCAGAGGGCGCGTTCGGCCATTTGCCAGACTGCGACACGGACGTTGACCGCTGCACGCTCTGCGGCTTCAGGGCCTTCCCACTCATTGTTGTCGACGTGCCCGAGGTGCTGGAGCTGCGACTGGTGATGGAAGAGGGCGCTATTTTGGCTCCAGTGCTGGTTATGATACGACTGGTGCCAGAGGAGGAGGATTTGGAGGACGAGGAATGCTGTCGGTTGGTCAGATTAGCGGCGTAGCTGGCGAGACCCCCAAACGGCTGCTGGGCACTGCTGGTGGATGTTGGTGAAGGCTGGATATCGGGAAAAATAAAATGATAATAAATGGTCTTATCAAGACAGGGTAGATTTATTGATATTAATACTGCTCTTTCTGTTAGCCCTGCAATATCTTTATTACGGGAAATCCAACCCGAGAAGATTTCCTTTTGCGACAGCCACCCAATTTGAAGAAAAAATTATGGATACAGCTTAGAATGATATATCTAATAATATGATGATATATAAAACATGATAAAATAGGGTTAGGGTTATATTTTAGGTGGTTGTCGCAAAAAGGAAATCTTTCCTCCAACCTCAACATAGAACCACTTTGAGCGACACCAGACAAATAAGGCAATTAGATCCGGGCAATTAGATCCAATCAATTGATTCTGACTGAAAATTTGGCCTGATTTTAGACAACAGGTCAATAGAAATGGTCACGTTTGACCAAAAGGTGACCAAAATGACCATATTGTTATTGATGGGGCTCAATGTGACCACATTCTCTAGCATCAGGGAGTTTTTTTTACATAGAAAGGTAGCATCTAATATCCTTTGCTGATAATAACGATTGAATATATATAACCCTTGATCAAAAGTGACCGTAATGGTCAGAATGTCCTGAGTAGGGTCAATAAATTTTTTAATCGGTGCAATTTTAAAAATCCTTGTTGAGCTATTTAAATCCCCCCCAACAAATTATGATTACCGTACATTCCCCTATCTCTTGGGCCAAGGTAACAAGCCTAGCCACACTTTTTCCCATGATGCATCACATGAAATCAAATGAACACTTGTGCCACTAGATGGCACTCTTGATTCCACCGTATTGAAAATTATTAACCCATTGGCTACTGAAACCGGGTGGTCCCTGTGTTAACTCTATGGGTATATGATAATTCAGTAGTCAACCCTGTGTTAACTCTATGGGTATAAGATAATTCAGTAGTCAACCCTGTGTTAACTCTATGGGTATAAGATAATTCAGTAGTCAACCCTGTGTTAACTCTATGGGTATAAGATAATTCAGTAGTCAACCCTGTGTTAACTCTATGGGTATAAGATAATTCAGTAGTCAACCCTGTGTTAACTCTATGGGTATAAGATAATTCAGTAGTCAACCCTGTGTTAACTCTATGGGTATAAGATAATTCAGTAGTCAACCCTGTGTTAACTCTATGGGTATATGATAATTCAGTAGTCAACCCTGTGTTAACTCTATGGGTATAAGATAATTCAGTAGTCAACCCTGTGTTAACTCTATGGGTATAAGATAATTCAGTAGTCAACCCTGTGTTAACTCTATGGGTATAAGATAATTCAGTAGTCAACCCTGTGTTAACTCTATGGGTATAAGATAATTCAGTAGTCAACCCTGTGTTAACTCTATGGGTATAAGATAATTCAGTAGTCAACCCTGTGTTAACTCTATGGGTATAAGATAATTCAGTAGTCAACCCTGTGTTAACTCTATGGGTATATGATAATTCAGTAGTCAACCCTGTGTTAACTCTATGGGTATAAGATAATTCAGTAGTCAACCCTGTGTTAACTCTATGGGTATAAGATAATTCAGTAGTCAACCCTGTGTTAACTCTATGGGTATAAGATAATTCAGTAGTCAACCCTGTGTTAACTCTATGGGTATAAGATAATTCAGTAGTCAACCCTGTGTTAACTCTATGGGTATAAGATAATTCAGTAGTCAACCCTGTGTTAACTCTATGGGTATATGATAATTCAGTAGTCAACCCTGTGTTAACTCTATGGGTATATGATAATTCAGTAGTCAACCCTGTGTTAACTCTATGGGTATAAGATAATTCAGTAGTCAACCCTGTGTTAACTCTATGGGTATAAGATAATTCTGTAGTCAACCCTGTGTTAACTCTATGGGTATAAGATAATTCAGTAGTCAACCCTGTGTTAACTCTATGGGTATAAGATAATTCAGTAGTCAACCCTGTGTTAACTCTATGGGTATAAGATAATTCAGTAGTCAACCCTGTGTTAACTCTATGGGTATAAGATAATTTAGTAGTCAACAGGTTAGTAAAATCACCTTAGGATCAGCTCTCCTGAAGAGGTTCATGGGAGACGTCTGATCCTGGTTTTTCTCCTGGTCTTTCGCCGACGATGATGACGATGAGGAGGAGGATGAGGAGCCGGTAGTGATCACCGTCTCCGGGAGGTTAGCCGGTTTCTTTGCAACCTGCAAGAAGGAGACGAAGGATAATTGATTGGTAATGTTTTGTTGGAAACATAAATAAATTGAAATTGAATTGAATTGAGAGATATCTATTTATTGTATTTAAAGTGGTTTATCGATGAGAAATCATTCACGGCAAGATAGCCGAACTGTAAATTCTTGCACAATCATAAATGTTTAAATTGATACATGAATAAACAATAATACATTCATATCAGTGAAAATGCAACACTTTTGACAATAACCCAGGGCATCAATAAAGGTTTAACAAGATACAGATGCATGTAGTAGGCTTAAGGTTCTACTAAATGCATCCTCGTCATAATAAACATCAGGATACCCAACATCAATTCTGAGTAAGAAGAGGAGAAGGAGAGAGTAAGAGGAGGAGGAGAAGGAGACAGCGAGAGGAGGAGAAGGAGAAAGAGGAGAAGGAAGAGCAAGAGGAGGAGAAGGAGAAAGAGGAGAGAGCGAGAGGAGAAGGAGAGAGAAGGAGAAAGAGGAGAAGAAGAAAGAGGAAGAGGAGGAGAAGGAGAGAGTGAGAGGAGAGATTGAGAGAAGGAGAAAGAGGAGGAGAAGAAGGAGATAGTGAGGAGAAGAAAGAGCAAGAGGAGGAGAAGGAGAGAGTGAGAGGAGAGAGGAAAGAGTAAGAGAGAAGGGGAAGGAGAATAACTGATAAAGGGAAAGCTAAAATGAGAGATGAAACATTGACTATCAGATTGCATGGAAATTTGTTACAACTTACATGTACATAGAGGTGATTAAACGGAAGTGGGACTGTTCTTACCATTTTCTTCATGTTGCGTTTACACTGGGCACAGTACCAGACCAGTCTAGGGTCATTTGGGTCTGTGTCGGTTACAGGAGGGGTGTGGCATTTCTGGAAAATTACACAAATATCAAAAAATAAACAAATACAGTCAAACCTGCTTTAGTGACCACCTGTCTACAAAGGCCACATTTGTTGCTTCCCTTAAAAATGGTTTCTCATTGAATCATGTACTAAAGGAACCTGTCTACAAAGACCACCTGTCTACAAAGGCCACTTTTTGTGTTTCCCTTGGGTGGTCGCTACAGACAGGTTTGTCTGTACACCAATAAATGAATGAATAAATAGATAGATATAATAACTACAATAGATTCAATGAACAAAATAAATAAATATATAAAATACATAAGTACAAAAATATGTATTATACAGACATACATAAAAACTAACATACATAAACACAGACATACATGAATTGAAATTAACCAGTGATTGAGAGGGTAATGAAAATGTTCATTTCCATCATTTATCATCAAATTTACTAATATTATCACTGTAGTAATTATTTACTTCATAATTGCTTACTTGCTTAAGTCGGGTCAACTGCCCGAGCTGTGATGGCCATCCACACATTCCTGTCCAGCATGGCTGCTTTTATCTCTGACAGTTCAAGTCCCGTATCCTTCTTGAGTAGGTCTGTATAAGTAAGATGAGGTCTTCCAGGTTTCTTCTTCCCGTGTTTAGGCTTCCAGAGTAAAAGCTGAGATATTGGTTCATTGATGTTCCTACAGCTGTGGCCTGCAAAACGTAGTCTTCTTTCCCTTATCTTTTCTGATACTTTTGGTAGATTCCCGTACAGCTCCTTATTGGTTATATGCTGGCTCCAGTGCACGTTAAATGCTGTCCTAAGAAGTCTGGTGTAGCAACCATCTAATTCTTTTGCCAGCTTTGTTGTAACTGCCCATGCTTCGCAGCCGTATAGAAGCACAGATTCAACTGTAGCAACAAACAAACGTTGTTTGAACTGCCTAGGAAGAGAAGATTTCCAGATTCTTCCAAGCTTGCTACACGCTCTCCATGCTGCTGACTTACGAGCTTTCACATCTTTTTCCGTGCTCACCATCAGTGCTCCCAGGTACTTGAAATCAGGTACATTCTCCAACTGAGTTTCATCGTTTGTTTTTATAGTGATGATCCCCCTGTGATTGAATGACATGAACTTGGTTTTGCCTGAATTCATCCGGAGCCCGACCTTGCCTACCGATGTCTCCACCCTGCTCAGGAGTTTTTGGGCTTGCTCTAATTCCTCAGATAGCAGGGCTATGTCATCGGCGAAATCTAGGTCTGTTATGATTTCCGGACCAACTCTCCTACTTCTCCTTCTTTCTAGTTGGAATCCAAGTTCTTCTTCATGGCCGTCTATAGCTGCTCGCAAGGCATAATCGAGGACTATTACAAATAGGTAAGGTGCAAGCGTGTCACCTTGAAGCACACCAGCCATGATTTCAAAGAGGTCAGTCTCTCCATCAGGTGATATTACTTTTGCTTTGGTGTCTTCGTACATCTTGCCAATAGCATTCACCAGTTGTTCCGGTATGCCATATGCAGTAAGGATCTTCAACATCTTGCCTCTGTGGATGGTATCGAAGGCTTTGCTTATTTGGCTTATTTGTCAACATTGTCATCATATTCTTTTTTATCACCATCATCTTCAAGAAGAGCATAATCATCACCATCAACATCATCATCATCAACACCAACAACATCATAAACATCTTCTTTGCCATCATCAACATCATCGTTTATCAGTGTTCATCGTTATTCTTCTCCCTTTCCTCCTATCGCCATCATCACCACCATCACCATCATCACCACCATCATCACCATCATCATCATCATCATAACCAGTATGTCATGACTACTAACCTGATGATATAGATTATGGCACTCCTGGCATTCAATCAGCGTGTTTCCAGCAGATATTTCCAAATCCTTACAGACGACACAAGCTAGACCCAACCACATCTCATCATCATCTGCCGCGGCTCCTGGTTTCTCTTCCTCCTTCCCTATAAACTCAGGCTCATCGTCTGAAAGAAGAAAGAAATCAAAACTGAATGCTTCATCTGCAACTATGTCACTGATTAATAAATTTACAACAACATGTACCTGTACATGAAAAGTGAAACCTGTATATAAAGACCACCCAAGGGAGACAAGAAAAGTGGACTTCATAGGATTGTGGTCTTTAAGTACAGGTTCATTTAGAATATGTTTCAATGGGAAACCATTTCCAAGGGAAACAAAAAATGTGGTCTTTGTAGACAGGTGGTCACTAAAGCAGGTTCGACTGTAGTATTACAAATGTTTTCACTTCATGCCTTCTCTTCTTCATTCCTTCTGTCTTGACTCTCTCATCACTGCTCTAACTTGTCTGCTATTGTTCCTCTTCCTTCTCTTCTCTCCTACTACTTATTTTTCTCTTTCCTCCTTATTTCTCTCCTTTAATTCCCTCCACTGTACTGACTTGCACTCTATTTCTTCTCTTCTCTCTCTTTCTCTCCCCTTCTTTCTTACCTTCGTCCCCACTGCTCTCACTCATCTTCTCTTCTTTCTCCTCTCGTCTTCTTTATCATCATCATCCTCCTCCACAACCTTTCTCTCCTTTCCCTCCACTGTACTGACTTGCATTCTATTTCTTCTCTTCCCTCTGTTTCTCTCTCCTTCTTTCTTACCTTCGTCCCCACTGCTCTCACTCATCTTCTCTTCTTTCTCCTCTCGTCTTCTTTATCATCATCCTCCTCCACAACCTTTCTCTCCTTTCCCTCCACTGTACTAACTTGCATTCTATTTCTTCTCTTCCCTCTGTTTCTCTCTCCTTCTTTCTTACCGTCTTCCCCGCTGCTCTCACTCATCTTCTCTTCTTTCTCCTCTCGTCTTCTTTATCATCATCCTCCTCCACAACCTTTCTCTCCTTTCTCTCCACTGTACTAACTTGCATTTTATATTTTGTCCTCTCTTTATTTCTCTCTCCTTCTTTCTTACCTTCTTCCCCGCTGCTCTCACTCATCTTCTCTTCTTTCTCCTCTGTCTGTTCGTCTTCTGTTTCATCATCATCCTCCTCACCCTGATCGTCGTCGTCGTCATCATCATCTTCATCATCGTCGTCGTCATCGATGACCGGTTTTCGTGGTTGAATTCTCGACTGACGGACCTCTGGTTCTATCTTTGGTTTCTTGGCGGCAATGCCTGAATCTCCAGTGGACAGAGCCGCTCCAAAACTGGACTGTAATAACAATACAGGGGAGTGTTTCACAAAGACTGAGATCAACTTTAAGCTGAACTTAACTATGGCAGGCAGTTTATGCCTGTAATTGATGTAATTAATGTTTATAATGATTTATTATTATTAATCTTTTCCTTATTTTGATATTTCTTTAGTTCATGAATTAGTAGTTATGTGTAACTTTGTTGTTTTAATATTGTACAGCGCATTGTTATTTTCTCCGAAGTTGAAATGCGCTATAGAAGCCTAGGTTATTATTATTATTATTATGCCACTGTTTGCTCTCACAATTTACTGACATTGGTTTCTCAACGGACTTTTCAATCGTGGTCACAAATCTAAGAATTAACATTTTTGATAGTTCATTAATGAAGGAAAAAAATATTTTCTAAAGATCATATTTAAGAGACCAATGCTGATAGCAACCAGTGGCATGAACAGCCTGTCATAGTTAAGTCCAACCTAAAGTTGATCTTAGTCTTTGAGAAACACTCCCCTGAAGTTATGATTATTATTGTTGTATATCAACAATAGCTATTTAAAACTAATAATTGTTTGAATATATAACATCAGTTGTGGGTTGTCAATATCAGTGAGGGGATATCGTCTTTATCAAAATAAAGTGATGATAATGAATGGTAATTATTATTATTATTTCATATATCAACCATAGCTATTTAAAGCCCCACCACACTACTTATAGCTACTTGCGCCCTCTATACAGCCAACAATGCCTATTAAGCGGTACCATTGATCCCCCATGATCCCTCTTTTCTTATGTTAATTGAGAGCTGAATTAATGAGATAACCACCTGCCAGTGACCTTACAGGAACGTCTAATCCCTCCATGCCGAACTAGTGCGGATGGGCTTTAAAACTAATAATGGTTTGAATATGACATCAGTTGTGGGTTGTCAATATCAGTGACGGTATATTATCTTTATCACAATCATCATCATCATCACCACCGTCATCACCATCACCATCACCCTCACCATCATCACCACATTTATTAGTATCATCACCTTCATCATCATCATCACCACCACCATTATTAGTCTCATTGTCATCTTCTTTATCACCATCACCACCACCACCACCACCATCATCATCATCATCATCATCATCATCATCATCATCATCATCACCACCACCACCACCACCACCACCACCACCACCACCACCATCATCACCACAACCACTACCCCCACCATCATCACCATCATCATCATCACCACCATCATCACCATAATAACCACCACCACCACCACCACCACCACCACCACCACCACCACAATCATCATCACCACCACAACCACCACCACCACCACCACCACCACCACCCCCACCACCACCCCCACCACCACTACCATTATTATTACCTTTTCCGCAGGTCTCTTGACGGTAGTTTTCTTGGCTGGCACCTCAGTCCTTGATGCAGGCACAGATGGAGACGCAGGCTTACTGCTCAGCTACATGAACATATATATACAAAAAGAAAAAATGAAATCTCTACAAATTATCCCCGGCCACATTCTCAAAACCCTTGCAAGTCTTTGTTTGTAAACTTCTCAATGAAATGCATGCACATCAATTCTATAATCTCGCGTTTCGTGGGGACATCCAAGACCTTAAGACTTACAACAGTTTCTAGAAATTGGCCCCAAAATCAAAATGCTCAAAAGTCTTCATCTTCAAGTTCATGTAAAAGTTCAATACCTATGTCGTATGTTAAGCCTCGGTCACAAATGCCATTACGAACTGCTACGAACGCCGTACGAACGATTTTCAGACAATGGAAATTCGGGAAGACAATGGAAAAACAGGGAGATTCGTACGAAATTATCGTTCGTACGAACCTTTTTGACCGTAGCATAAAATATGACAGCATTACAGCAAAGTTCTACAGGGCACGTACAGTACATAAAAATCAGCCGATTACAGATGAAATCTCAAGCCAATGGAGTAACCCAGGGGCCTCTTTCACAAAACTTCTTATCTATATTGAACAAATGCTAAATTTCTATGACAAATTTGCTCTCAGCCAATCAGATGCCATGATTTCAGTAGCTTATAACAGTAGCTTGTAACTTGTTATTGATTGCAAGTTTGATGAAACAGGGCCCAGATCTTGCAATAATTGCTACAATCAGTTACGTTCTGGGGGACAGGGTGGGAGGGGGGGGGGGGGTGGGGGGGGTTGTCGCAATGAGCACAGTACATCATCAAAGCAAATCACTTTCTGAAAAGCAACCTAAACAAGGACCAAAGTCTAGGGTAGTTTTGATACCATCTAGATCTACAGAGGAACCATCTAACATCTCCCTTTTTTGTGTGCGTACACTGGTGATGCACAGGCCTTGATTAGACACACGCCCTCTGGAGGTCACATTACCTTTCCAGTGGTCTTGCCAAGGACATCATCCAGCATCTGTTTCAGGAGGTCCGTTGAGTCTTTACTCTTAGACCGCAGAAGGGCCAGGGCCTTCATGAACAGCGGGTCCAGTTCTATACTCGCCATTTCCTTCGGATCTAACCACAGACTGGCAGAGAATGAAAGAGAAATAAACTAAATTATACATTCCAGTGAAAAAAATACACAGGGGCTCGGGGCAGATTATTCCCCGAAATGCCCAAAAGAGCCCCCGAAAGTCATAAAAGAGCCCCCAAAATTTGCATAGAGTTCAATGCAAAACAAATTAAAGAGTGTTATTTTCATGCAAGCAAGCTTGAAAAGTAGCCCCCGAAATTTGTAAAGTATTTTTTACCTGATTTATTCCCTTACCATATTTTGTAATTTTTTATGTGAACAATTAATTTGTCTCAATTTATGTTTCTTGAAAATGTGAGGTAGTAAAGCTTACATCTAAAAGTATTCAACAAAAGCCCTAATTCAACCAATCCATCTTCTTTCTTGAGTTATGAAAAAACAAAAGCATCAAATTTACAAGGGGTGTTTAGTTGTATGCTAAGTTACAAGGAGAAGAGAGTGAAAGAGAAATAATTATCTCTGGTCAAACTAAGAAAAAGACGCAAAGAAATAAGATTAAGAAGAGTGGGCTTCGGATCATGAATTACCTGATCTCATGCAATGTCATGTCAAGACTAATCCGCAAGCAACAGCAAGTGTGTCATTAGACAGAAATAACCGTCTGATATGGGTCATTTCTTTAATAAAACTGACATTTGTTGACATTCCCCATATACAGACGGTACTACAGAGATCTCATACCGTGGGGGTAATCTGGCCAATCCAGCTGCCACTTATGGTGATAGAGCTTTCTCCCCCAATTTTCACTATTTAGATCTAATTTTCAGATTTATAAATCAGATGTAGTGACTTGAACTTTACAAAGGTCACAAATGTTTATCAACATTGCACATAGCCAGCATTTTAAACATTCCTTTTGTTAGTACTTTACGTTCAGCCAGCTTCAATAACAATAACAATTTACAGCTGCACATTCTACATATTCTCTGAGTTAATTTCATCCATGGAACCACCCAGCAACAAGAGTGTTATTTTAGTTACTCCAATCGGACCGCACCTTATTGTTTTAATAAGCCAATCATCACACTTTTAACGCACTTGGATAAGTCTCCACACACGGATTTTACTCACTTCTCCTGTCTTCAGTTTTCATCATCGGACGTGTTTTATATAGGACGTTTTCGGATTATTCAACAAGCTTTTTCTCATTAGTTTTCACGTTAATAGCGAGTTTCATCATCATCATTTTATTTGAGGACTAAATCGCAAATTAGATTTGTCTTCTATTTAATTTCGGGAAGTGTGAACTGTAAGGTTGTGTGCCTTCATCATATTCGCGTTAATTTCGCTAGCTAGCTAGTCGCGCTCCACGTGCTGATTCTTCACTTCGCTATATCGCTCTATTCTCCCTCTTCATGATTCGCCTTCCAGTTTCTTTCTATACTCGAGATATCAACGCTGAGGATTATTATTAACGGTAAGAATACTCATTTAGTTTCTACACAACATTTATTCCTACACAGATATAAATTAAGTATTGTACTCCTATTTACACTAAATAATATTAATTGACCTATCATACAAATGCGAAATTTTTGGACTTACTTATATGATTTATCCAATTTTTTTCCCGAACCGTGAAACGTACCGTTCATCCATTCAAATTAATAATCTATGACATCACCCGGCCGATATATTACCGGGTCAACCTACCAAAACATAGCGAATGGCCAATCAGAGCACTCGTTTCGTATTGGGTTTATGAATATTCAGATATCACTGGGTTGACTCGAACGTAGCTATTGGACGTTCGAAAAGAAAAAATGAATATTCATTAATTAAAACCAAGATGGATGACAACGAATCATGTCGACTACGAGACTTTCTCGGATTAATCATTAATTTAGGATATAAATGAGCAAGCTATCGTAAGTCAAAGCCATATTTGTTTGTTATTTGTTATATTTTTATTAGCCTATTGTAATATTGCAGCAAAAGAGCATTTATGAGGATGTAAAGAGTGAAAATCTCGTTGCATATCTCATTCATCGCGGTCCTGCCGAACCGAACCATTTGTTCCACTAGTATGGCATAGGCCGTACTTCAGTCTATACTATCATGACTAGATCTATAGAGGCGGTCAGTGGAGCCAGATGCAATCTCAGCGGAACCACCGTCGATATCAGAGACTGAAGCTTTCGGTCTAGTGTGTCATGTGTTGTGATATTTTGAGCATGACTAGAGTTGGTGGACATGAAACAGTTTATCCACTTCCTGACATCTGCGTAGCCGTAGGTGGCCGAAAATGATTGCAGTTGGTTTCATCAAATTCATGCAACGACCCCCTGGCACACGCCCCCAGCCCCTGCCCTGTTCAGTTTTCTTTCATCTTTGCCTTACTTAGGCCTAGTTTCAGTTTCACCCTTTGCTTTGGCTTTGCCTTTGCTCCTGATCCTCTGTTAGAACTCTAACGCATGGCATAGCCATAGGCATAACGCGCCAGTCCGAGATTGCCCGCCCGTATTGGCATTGCATTGGCTAGCGATCGCCGTGTCGCGGTGCAGTAGCATTAGCAATCGAACGTCTATACGTAGCGTAGTACGTGTACGGTACACAATTTTAAACTAACGGGACTGGACTGTACATCAAATAAGGGATAAAAACAACTGGGTGTAGATCTACAGTGAATCATCTCGTAGAAACTTGAGGGTAAACTAAATGGTTTATTTCTGAAAATTAGCAAATATGTCATACGTACCAAGAAAAAGATGCTAAGCAATATATAACCAGCTTTTTATTCCCCCAAAAAGGAAAACCTAAACTTCATCTGCGGATGAACCTAGACTGTAGACAACATTTTGGTACTTTGCGTGCAAAAATGAAGGGGCTTCAAATAGGCAAATAATAAACGAAAGTATATCAAAGATCCTTGGTTTTTCCATTTCAAAATCTATTGTAGACTTTTAAATTGGTACCTCTTTTAATCCGATTTTGGTTTTTCTTCAAAATTCGATTTGAAACTTTCTATATCCGAAAATCATGTGATTAGAGGAAGAGAGGAATATATAGTAGGGGTGGGAGAAGATCGAGAGAAAGAGAGAGAGAGAGAGAGAGAGAGAGAGAGGTTAGAGATCGAGATAAACCTATATATAAAGCCTCATTTCTGTATAATTTGTAATCCCAAATGGGCGAACAGACGTACATTCTCTCACTTCCCCCCCCCCTCTCTCTCTCTCTTACCAGTACGTTTTCCAACCTCTTCCACCCCGCCCCCCCCCCCCCACTCAGTGTTATTTTGGGGCGCATATGCTTGTTCCCTCTTTTTGAAATTAAGCACCCCCTACCTGAGGACTGCCAACATTTCCGAACCCCCCTTTCGCGGGCTTTTCCTGCCTTGGAGACCCCCCCTAAATCATGAAAAATGCTCAATGTACCCCCCCCCCCTAAATTCGGAATAATTTCTCAGGAGTCCAAAGACCAGTGAGAGAAAAAAAAGGAAAAAAACACCCCCTTTTTAAATAAATCTCCGGGTGAAAAGTTAATACACCAATTCTCAGGCCGGACTTTGTCGCACGAAAAGTACCCCCTGACCAGACATTTTGGTAACACGCATGGGGTCCGTCCGTTCTCGGAGTACCGGGCTTCCACCTCATACACACATATACACACACAAACACGAACACATCAACAATTAAGCAAGCCATCACGGTCTCTCATTTCCTTATTAATGGATGATCAGGTACAAACATGGAAACTCATTATAACCAAAGAAATTGCTATATCAGGAATCTTGTTATATCGGCGTAAAAAAAACATAAGAATATAAAGAGATGGAACCAGCAAAATCATCTTATTATAAGATACCTTTTTATATTGGAGCTCTTTTTATTGAGGTTCCACTGTACTTTCTTAATATGTCAAATATATGTAGACTTACATGCATGCAGTCATGCTTTATTCTGGAAATGTGTGTCCCGATAATACGCACAATAATTTTCCAACATTCACAAATACAATAGTATAGTATTAATGACTGCTTTGAGAGAAATAGTTGTTTTTATACGCTCAAGGGAAGGTGAGAATTGTGCTATTACCCGAGGCGTGCCGAGGGGAATAGCCTAATTGTAACCTTCCCGAGAGCGTATAAAAACAACTATTTCTCGAATATTAAAGCAGTCATTAATACTTTTATATGCCGAAAAAAAATAGACTAAAAAATAAAAAATAAAAAATACTTTTTTTTTTGTCGAAGATGAGATTCGAACTTTTGCGTACATTAAGTGATGTATTTAAAACCAACGCCTTATACCACTCGGCCATCGCGCGCTGTTAACATGCTTAGCAGTTTTGTACAATATATACATTAAAATGGATTGAAACCGACTACGCGTAATGAATGCTTCGCAAAAGCTCCATTAAACGGACCCTTCTTTTACTTTTGCAATGCATATTGGCACGAACTTAGATCAAGATCTATCGGCAGATGTTGTTTTTTTGTTTTTGGAAGTTTATTTTCGTCTTCATGCCAACAATGCAAGATAAAATTGTCGGTAAGATCGATCGAGATTCAATTGTATTGAAATTACCGACCAATTCTTCGCACACATACGGTATCCTCGATCGCTCAAACCATTTTTTAACATGTAAACCCATATGGAAACGTTTGCTTGTATTTGTCTCATAAAAGAATATGAGCACGAACTGACTCCCACACGGTGTTGAGTGCTCAGGGGTCACAGGCCAATGGCTTCATCGGGCAGGTAGTTCCATTATGTGAATGGGTAAATTAACTATTACAAAATGAGGGGACACATTACATTGTACAATAGGGACACACATTGTTTTTATTGTGCAGAACATACTCTTTTATTGACTTACTTATTGCATGAAACTATATAACTAAAATGCATTTTGTATTCTAACAATTGGAGTACAAAGAATAATAAAAGGTGAATGAAATACATAAACACCACAAACACCTGGGGAGGAAGCATTCATAAATTTGAATACATATATATGATAAACGACTCCGACGAAACTATAAAACCAAAATGAAATTTGCGTTCTGGCAATTGGAGTACAAAGAATGATAGCAAGTGAATGAAATGCTTCAACAGCAACACAAACACCTGGAAGCTAGGAAGCATCCATAAATTTGAATAATTTAGTTGATAAACGACTCCGCATGTGGACGTTTGTTGGAGCAGAAAGCAGTGGATTCTTAACAACACGAACCCATTTAACATAATGTCGCAACGTAAATTAAATTTGGTGCATCTTTCTACCCTGCAACTTTAATGGTACGATCCAGTAAATTAAAACAATAAAATGGCTCTTATTTTAAAATTGCTCATTAAATGAAACCCAAAACTTCAGTGATATCAGAAAAAATATGTTATATCTTACTAATAATTAAAAAAAGATGTATAAACATTGTGAAAGTGTCGCATTTTAGGATAAAAGACACCGATTTAGCAAAGATCACGTCATTAGTGCGCTTGCATCAGGGAATTCAAGGTCAAAAGGTCAATTCAGACGCTGATGAGTCGTTGGTCGAGCATTTTTGTTTCCTTTATTCCGACAAAATTATACAATCAATCAAAATAAGTTTGATACCAGAAGAAAGCTAACGATTAGTATTTTCATTAACCGCTTGCCCCAAAGTCTCTTGACAACAGTGAAACGAGTGAGAGCTTGCGAGATCGGCCAAAGTGTGATTGAAACTCGCTAATTGCTCTTCTCCAACGCAAAAAGAGACGACATTGTGCTGGATAAATGTATTTTTTCCGACAAAAGTACAGAAAATTTGCATATGGTCTTTTTATATTATACTTTATGAAATGTTAACCGAGTGACTTCCGGGCGCCCCAATGCTGGAAAGAAACGCACATTTTAGAAAACTTCACTTTTTCATGGAAAAATGCTTATTTGTTCTATGCACGCAAGTCAGATTGAGCGGATGATACAACGTTTCCATATGATGGGGTAACCATGGAGACTGAACTATTTTCCCAATAACCATGGTTATTGGAAAAATAGGTCTGTTTTTACAGGAACAGTTAACGTTTATGAATGCAATTTCGACCAATCAGATTGCTGGATTACTTAAAGATGAAGTTGAGTTCTGGTCATACGATTGCATTGTGAAAGAAACGGTGTGGAACAGACCAGAAAATGTTGATCATCTAGCATATAAGAATTTGTGTGTATTGCAAGGTTCTGGAATCATCAAAATGATAAGAAATTTGGCCAAGTCTTGGTAAAGTTGCAAACACTTGCACAGAAAGATGTATATGGGACTACACAAACACGTGGCGTAAAAAGCCGGCCCCCGATTTTTACGATGTTACATGCATATTTAGAATATGAAGGCATTTGAAGAGCCATCCTTTTCAGGGAACATGTCTTAACTGATGTTCTTCCACACTTGCATAATAAGAATGAGTAATGCTCACAAATTATTTTTCACCTCTTCCCAGAACTCAACCTTCTCTTTAAGTGAGGTATATAATACAGAATAATGGACATACAACCAATTTAAAAAAGCCTTCATGATGTCAAATTACACATTTGCAACAGAAACTCATCATAAAGTGTGCAGACTCTTGCACAAGAATGCAAATCTGGAGAGGTCTAAACTTTCCTACAAAAAGACATCCAGATATGGTGTGTACCTTGACACGAATTTCAAGAGGTGGATATGGTAAAGAACAATGAGTATTTACATTAAAGACTTCGCTTGAACATGTGCAGCCCATATTCAAAATCATAATTTGTGCAGACATTTGTAATCTTTACAATTCTATATTAAGAATCAATTAAATGTAAAGTACAGGGAAAATAAATGATGTAATTGTGCAGAGCTCTGGACCAAAATGGGTTAAGGTGGAAATTATATAATGGAAACAATACGGGCAATTGATCAGACTGTCGCATAACAATCAAATCTTAGTATGATATCATATGAAATATTTATACATTGGATATGGAACATGATAATGTGCAGACTAATACACAAACATTCAAGCTCATTGTGATATTATATGAAATATATATGCAATGTAAATTCACCATTGTGATGTGAAGACTTATGCAGAGAAGTCCAATCTCAGTATGATATTACATGAAATATTTATAGAAAAAGACATTAATCAATCATCACAACCTCAGTACGTTATCATATAAAATACATGTATTTATGCATAGGAAATCCAGTATTGTAATGTGCAGACTTATGCACCTAGCTCCAAACTCAGTATGATATAACATGAAACAAATTTTCCTTAATGGACATTCACCATTATGATGTGCAGACTCATGCACACACATCTAATCTCAGTATGATATCATATAAAATATATACGTGTATACAAAGTAAATTCACCACTATAATATTATGCACAAAATTCCAATCTCAGTATTCCATGTAACATATATAAATGAATGTATAGGATATTCATTATTATAATGCTCAGACGTATGCCAAAAAAAATCCGATATTAGTATGATATCATATGAAACATTTACATACATTGGAAATTCAACATTGTGATGTGGAGACTTGTGCACAAACATCGAATCTCAGTATATATCATATAGTAATATATGCAATGGACAATCATTATGATGTGCAGACTCATACACTCTAATCCATTTCAGTATGATATCATATCAAATATATACATGTATGCAAAGTAAATTCACTCTTATAACGTTATGCATAGAGTTGTAAACAAACATCAAATATCAGTATGATATTTCATGAAATATATATAAAATGGACATTCACCATTATGAAGTGCAGGTTTCTGCACACGAATCCAATGTCAGTATGATATCACATAATATATATATAT